TTATCTGGTTCCTGTCCCAGGAGGAGGCTATGATACTGACGTGAGAACCAGGAACCGTGTGGCCCCCTGCCCACCGCTGCGTTTCCTGCTCGACCGCAGGGCCAAGCAGTTTCTTCTTTCCAGAGTGCTGGCACTTAACCTGTTCTAGAACTTTCCAAATTACACACATCACAGGGCAGAAACAATTCCATAAAACAGATTTCAACACCTACAAAGGAAAGAAGCGGAGGAACGAGAATACCTGGACACTCAATGTTTGGGGGGTGTCGGCCAGGGCTCCTCCCCCTCTGCATCTGGGGGTACAGCGAGAGGGGTGGGGAGCAACCCCCATGCACTTGTCATCAGCTCACAGTGGCTCCAAGGAGGACCCCAGGCCACACTGTCTCTCCTGCACCTGCAGCCCCGCTGCCTCCTCCAGGGAACACTGAGGGGCCCCACAGGGACCCCCGAGCACAGGGACTCCAGCCCACAGGGACCCCAGCCCACAGGGACCCCCAAGCACAGAGACCCCAGCCCACAGGGACCCCAGCCCACAGGGACCCCAAGCACAGAGACCCCAGCCCACAGGGACCCCAACCCCACAGGGACCCCCAAGCACAGGACCCCAGTCCCATAGGGACCCCCAAGCACAGGGACCCCCGAGCACAGGGACCCCAGCCCACAGAGACCCAGCCCACAGGGACCACAGCCCCAGATGGGCCTGGGCAGGTGGCCATTCTACAGAGGAGGCTGGACAGAGCCCAGAGAGCGATCAGGGCTGCCGAAGCCACGCAAGGGGGCAGTCTCCGTCCTGAGGGGAGCAGCCCCCAGCCCAGCCCCCAGAGCTGAGAAGGGCATCCACGCTCCACGGCCCAGGACTCAGAGCTGTCCAGGGCAGGGCACGGCGTATGCCCTGTGGCTGTTGGGGTGGGCACCCCATGGCTCCCCAAGCTGTGGACCCTGCATCAGGCCCCAGCAGGACAGTCCCAGCCCCCCACCCCAGGGCCCTCACCCCGGCTGCCCCACGCCCGCTCGTGGCCTTGGTCAATCTTGGGGGTGTTGGGGTTGGGGGGGCCGTGGCCTCTGAGACCCACCCATTCGGCTCCTGCCTGCCCTGGGCTCAGAGCTGGCTGCCGGGGGGAGCGGGTTCCTCCCAGGGCGGCACCATCACCCCAGGCCTCACTCAGCTCCCGAGCTACACCCCTTGGTCCCTGCCCCCCAAGCCCAGCCCTGCCTGAGGGGCCCACAGGCAGCTGCAGGCCCAGCTCAGGACCCTGTAGCTCCTTCCAGGGCTCCGCTCACCCTGCCCTGCAACTGCCTCTGCAGAAGCTCATGCCCACACACAGGCGTGGCACACGCACACGCAGTGTCACGCTCGCAGAAGCCAGCCCTCCCGCTTCAAAAGGGAAGCAGTCCTCACCTGCACCCAACACGTGTCTGTGCACGCATGTTTGTGTGCACATGCATGGGTGGGTGCCACATGTCATGTCGGGCCCTGGGCTGCTCCCCAGCAGGTGAGGAGGGGTGGGGCAGGCTGCACAGGCCCTGGCTGGCTGTGCCCTGGGGGTGGGGGCAGCAGCTGCTTGGGCTGCCTGCTTCCTCAGGTTTTGGTGCCCCTACCCTGCTCTTCCTGCCCCCCGCCTGCTGCAGGGAGAGGCCCAGCCTCCGGGGTCCCCCAGTATCCAGGAAAGTTCCCCACTTCTGTCCCAGGAACAGTGGCGCCCTGCGCTCTCCCAGCAGGGCCAAGGCCTGCACCAAGGCCATGCCTCCAGGGCCAGGCACTGGGCTGCTGGCTCAGACTGGAGCTGAACTCCACGTGCTGGTGTGGATGGGGCAGGGAGGAAATGGCTGCCTGGGGCCCTGGAGGTGACCTGGAACCCGGACCGATGTCAGCTCTGACGCCCAGCTGCTGGGGGGAGGGGTAGCCTCTGCTTCCCCAGTCCAGGCCCTCCCAGGATGCTGAGGCTACCCCTACCCCCAGATAAGCTCAACACCTGCTGGCCCACCCTCGGGCAAGAAGGCCCCATGCCAGCTCCGTCTGACCAGCAAACCCGCCGAGCAAGGCGGGGTGACTACCGTCCCCACCCACCACTGCAGGGAGACCCTTGCCCAAGCCTGCCCAGAGGACCTCACGTGCTCACAGGGCCCCTGTGGTCCTGCGGGCAGCCCACGGCCCCAGCAACAGAGCCCGGTGTGGGCAGAGCCTGGGAGGGGCCTTGGGGCTGGCCAGGGAACCAGGTCAGCTCCAAGGGGTGAGGCCTCAGGCAGGGGGCTCCTGCGGCCCCCCCAAGGTGCAAAGCCACACGGCCCGGCCCGTGGGACCTGGGAGAGGGAGGAACCCCAGCCCATGGGAAATCCGCCCGAGGATCCCGGGCTGTGGGGGCAGGGCCTGGAGGGACTGGCTTACCTTCCCGTTTTGCTCACTTGTGGGTCCAGCCTGCCAGGGCCCAAGAGCCTGGTGGCCTCGCAGCCAGCACCCGCCTACTAGAAGGATGTGCAGGGCGGGGAGCCCCGCTCATTTCTAAAGTTGGGGGCCAGGTGCAGGAGAGCTGCCCGCAGCCCCGCCCCTCAGGGAGGCACCGCCCTGACCCTCACTGCTGGACTCCAGGGAAGGCAGGAGCAGTTTGAGAGCCGACTGGCTGGCAGCGTGGCGCAGCGGGTTAGACCACCGCCTGAACGCCAGCACCTGGGCGGAGGGCGGGGCGGGGGCAGGGTCCAGGGGCTCAGGGAGCTGGGGCTGGGCCAGACTGAAGCTGGAGCCCAAGAACTTGGTCCTGGTCCCCCAGTGGGTAGCAGGGATCCAAGCTGCAGCCTCCCAGGGCACAAGTGGGCAGGAAGCTGCAATCAGGAGGGGAGCAGACGCTCGAACCCAGGCTCTGTGATACGGGATCGGGCGTCCCCAGCAGTGTCTTAACGGCTGTGCCATGCCAGGCCAGGCCCCTACACCGGCTCAACTGCGTCACCGGCTCGCAGGCGAGGGGCTGCTTCCCGGCAGCACCACATGGAAGGAAGCCTTGCTGACCTCAGCCCACGGACCAGAGCCGTGGCGGCCTCACCGAGCTGACAGCGTTGTTCCTCCTATGGCTTCCCCTCTGCCGTTGTTCAGCAAATCCAAAGCCACACAGCGACCTCACTTCCTGTTTCTCAAGAAAATGGCTGAGCGGGGGCAGCTGTAGTGTAGCCGGTAAAGCCACTGCCTGCAGTGCCGGCATCCCAGATGGGCGCCAGTTCAAGTCCCGGCTGCTCTACTTCCAATCCAGCTCTCTACTGTGGCCTGGGAAAGCAGTAGAAGATGCCCCAAGTCCTTGGGCCCCTGCACCCACATGGGAGACCTGGAAGAAGCTCCTGGCTCCTGGCTCCTGGCTTTGGATTGGCGCAGCTCCAGCCATTCCAGTCATTTGGGGAGTGAACCAGCGGATGGAAGACCTCTCTCTCTCTCTGCCTCTCATTCTCTCTCTGTATAACTCTTTCAAGTAAAAATAAAATAAATCTTAAAAAACAAAACAAAACAAAAAAAACACAAAAAAAGTGAGACTTGGGAGCCCACCAAGGAAGTGACATCACTGTGACTTCCGGCAGCCCCGCTGTCCCTGACCCCCAGGCTGCAATTGTGCTGGCACAGTGCAGGGGAGGGGCTTCCGGCATGTGGGGCAGGGTGCCCCCCGGGAAGGAGCGGAGGGGCAGGTGAGCCCCAAGAACCAGGCACACACCTGAAGCCTGGTGCTGCCTTGGGACAGGAAGGGACTTGGCCCTGGCTGGTGTGGGGCAGGAGAGACCCAGCAGGTGTGAGATGGACCAGCGAGCACCCTCTTCACAGCCCCCTCCCCTGTGTGTGCTGAGGGAGAGGCACCCGGTGGTGTCTGGGTCCCCTGGGTGTGTGTGGCGGGGGCCTCCCCCTCGCTGCGCTCGGCTTGCACTCTAGCACAGTGACTATTCTGCCACTGTTTGCTAACGAGATTCACTGCTGGTTCTTCCTGGTCAGGTGTCCAGGGCAGGTTTGAGCCTGTGCTCCAGGATGCGGGGCTCCTGGGCCTGGAGGTTGGGATGGGGTCCCCTGGGGAGGGGGCTGGAAATGCTTCCCTAGGGCCGGGAAGCATTCCCCATCCCGGTGCCCTCTTGTGCTGGGGCCCCATGGCAGGAGGGTGCAGTGTCTGATGGACAGCAAGGTGGGGCTGTTGCTGGAGACCTCAGCATCACCACACCTCTGGTTGTCCAGGGCTCCAGCCGGCCCTTGTCAGCTCTGTGATGGGTGAGCTTAGGATCCGATTCCAGGAACAAGGAAACTGGCCGTGCTGTGTTCATTTCTGTTCACCCAGCACCACACCCTGGGGCTGGAGCCTCAAATTCCACCTTCCACTGACCTAACAAAACCCCTAAGTTTACAGCTGGTTTGATGGTTTACTGATAAAATACACATTCTTAAAGTAGTCAGTTGCGTTAACATGTTCTTCATTTCACTTGAAATGCAGAGTCACAGTGAGAAGGGGAGGGAGAGAGGCACGTCCCTCTGCTGCTTCACTCCCCAGGTGGCCGCTCCTGGCTGGACCGGGAGCATCGTTTGGGTCTCCCACGTGTGTGCAGGGGCCCAAGGTCTTGGGCCATCTTCTGTTGCTTTCCCAGGCCATCAGCAGAGACAGGAACCAGCACCTATATGGGATGCCAGCATTGCCGGTGGTGGCTTCATCTGCTATGCCACAATGCTGGTCCTCAAAATACTTATTTTTAAAAAAGATTTATTTATTTATGTAAAAGTCAGAGTTACACAGAGAGAGAAGGAGAGAAGGAGAGAAGAAGAGAAGGAGAGAGAGAGAGAGAGAGGGGTCTTCTATCCGCTGGTTCACTTCCCAACTGACCGCAACAGCCAGAGCTGGGCTGATCCAGAGCCAGGAGCCAGGAGCTTCTTCCAGGTCTCCCACTCGGGTACAGCTCCCACGTGGGTGCAGGGGCCCAAGGACTTGGGCCGTCCTCTACTGCACTCCCTGGCCATAGCAGAGAGCTGGATTGGAAGTGGAACATCCAGGTCTCAAACTGGTGCCCACGTGGGATGTCGGCACTGCAGGTGGCGGCTTTACCTGCTATGCCACAGCGCCAGCCCCTCAAAACACATTTTTTTTTTAAGATTTCTTTATTTATTTGAAAGTCAGAGTTACACAGAGAGAGGAGAGGCAGAGAGAGAGAGGTCTTCCATCCAATGGCTCACTCCCCAACTGGCCACAACGGCTGGAACTGCACTGATCCGAAGTCAGGAGCCAGGTGCTTCCTCCTGGTCTCCCACGCAGGTGCAGGGGCCCAAGGACTTGGGCCATCCTCCACTGCTCTCTCAGGCCACAGCAGAGAGCTGGATTGGAAGTGGAGCAGTGGGGTCTCGAACTGGTGCCCATATGGGATGCCAGTGCTTCAGGCCAGCGTGTTAACCTACTGCGCTACAGCACCAGCGCCAAAACACATTTTTAAGGAATGAAGTTTTCCAGTTCTGCTCAGCCCAAACCTGAGGGCTCAGGAGAACCGGGTAGAACTGGACAGAAGTGGACACAGGGCCTTTAACTGAAGTTACTTCCTGAGCCACGGCACGCACAGGCAGAAGCACGGAGAGACCGTCCACTCAGGAGAACTGCCCAGGGCTAAGCCAGTCTTAGGCTGGGTCCTCTGCCCTGGCTGTCCCTGGGGTGGGCCGTGAAAGCATGTGGGAGCCAAGGAGCCACCTGGATGCATGGGGACATGGCCAGTACACGCCCAGTGCTCATGAGAAAATCTGGCCAACTCGGGAGATGGAGACTGGCGGCGGGGGGGGGGGGGGGCGCCCTGCCAGACGCCAGGAGCTCTCGGTCCCTCGTGGCCAGGCCCCAGGCCTGCAGTCCCCGGCTGCGCGGCTTCTTGGTCTCTAGGCAGGCTCAGGTGCCCTCACCTCCTCGGGACAGGGGGCTTCAGGACAGCCTTTGGGCCAGCAGCCCCCTTGGGGTTGGAAAGAGAAACTCAGTCAAAAGTCATTGGCGACCAGGAGTGACAGCTCATTTCCTGTTACGCTTTTAAAGCTTAGATTCTCAGCTCGTGCCCAGGACCACCGGCCTGTGCTCACGGCACTCACGGCACAGGGAGCACTCACAGCCTGTGCACACGGCACTCACGGCACAGGGAGCACTCACGGCCTGTGCACACGGCACTCACGGCACAGGGAGCACTCACGGCCTGTGCACACGGCACTCACGGCACAGGGAGCACTCACAGCCTGTGCACACGGCACTCACGGCACAGGGAGCACTCACGGCACAGGGAGCACTCACGGCCTGTGCACACGGCACTCAAGCACAGGGAGCACTCACGGCCTGTGCACGCGGCACTCAAGCACAGGTGTTCGGCATCACACCAGCAAGGGAAAAACGCAAAACCGGCAGCAGCAGAAGCCACAGTCTGGGAAGTCCTCAGATGTCAAATGAGCCTTAGCTGATGAGGTCTCTGCTTTTATCAGATAACCACGAGTTCGTGAGATGGCCACTGAAGGCAGCCCTGCAGGGCAGTGGCACAGCCAGCCCACGTGGGGGAGGGGCAGCACCCTGACAGGGGACACAGCCCACCCCCAACCCCCGGCCTGGGCTCACCTGGGTCATGGCAGCAGGAACCTCCCCAGCCCTGGCCTTCACTGGTGGCAATGGGGGTGTACAGGTGGGCTTCAGGACCTGGGAGGGGCCGACAGGGACGGTAGACAAAGCCGCAGTGGCAGACCCCATCCTGGCCCCCCCGAGGCAGCCCCCATGCTCCCAGAACCCCTGGAAGACTGGAAGTGGCCAGAATGCGGGTGCCCAGGCTCAAGGGCCACGCGCTCATGGCCAGGACGCCCGTGCTGTCCGTTTCTGCTTCCCTTGGCTAGGCTGAGCTCAGCAGTTGCAGCAACTCCCGGGATCCCCCGAGTGCTCTGAACGCAGGGGACCCATGGGGCACAAGCCACAGCCTCCCTGAGCACCCCCACCCCAGCCTATCAGTCACCACTTCCTGGCCAGAAACTCCCACTCTGATGCTGGGACTGTTTCTTGACACTCTTAAGACTAAAATCAGCTTAAAATAAAGAGCTGAAACAAAGAGACAGAAAATCACTCACAAGTAACACAGTTACGACCACCCGACCACCGCTGGCAAGATTCACCCAGGGGGCCAAGCGCCAGGAGCAGGCAGGAATCCCAGGGGATCCACCCGCCGAGGGGCACTGCCCACACCCGGCCGGGGATGAGTCAAGGCCTCGAGGGACAAGGCCATGGGCCCCGTGCCTCGCCCCAGGAAGTGCACTCATGTGCTTCTGCCCCAGCTGAGACCAGAGACCAGGAGGGGTCACAGCAGGGGAGCGCCGCACAGGCACAGGGCAGTGCGGACGTGGTGCTGGGGGACGGCCAGGGGGCTTCTCCCCCTTTGGTTCACTCAAGATTGCAGTTAAAAACCCAGCCCTGCGAGCCACACTGCAGCGTGACTGAGGAGTGGGCAAAGCCCATCGGTCCGGACTCTCACGGCCGCTGAGAAGGGAAGGGGGCTGACTCAGGGGACAGAGAGAGGCGGGGCTGCGCCCATCAGAGGCTGCTGTGGCCCACACGGTGACACAGGCCCTTGGGAAGGGAGGTTGCAGAGTTGGCCCCACCCCCAGGCCTCTTACCTGCCTGGGCTTCAGCCCTGGGAGGGGCTTGGTGGGCGGGGCAGGTCTCAGCTGACAGGGCCAGGAGAGAAATCTTGGGATCCTGACAAGAACCAGCTTCCTCCCCACCCAGGGGGCCCCCCGCCCCACCTCCCCAGCCATGGGCTCTCCGCTCCCAGGACGGCCATGACCACTGCTGCTCACCTGGTCTGGCGCCTGCTGGGTGTAGACAGGAACGGGGAGGGGCAGCCTGGACACAGCGGCTGGAGGCTGAGGGACAGGGCTGTGACCCTGGGCCTTGGGGCTCAGCCCCCTCCCAGGCCGTACAAGCCCCCAGCTCCAGACTCCCCATCAGTCCGTGCTCCTCCCATGCAGCAGGGAGAGCTGCAGGCGTGTGCGGGGGCCGGCCCAAGCCCACCTGCATGACACCCCCACACCATGTCCTCTGCCCCGGCTGCATCTCGGGGGGGCCTCGCAGACCCGGAGCCTCCTCCCTTCAGCCCCACAAACCTGGCAGGGGGTGATGCTTACAGCAGGGGGGGGCCTCTGAGGGGTCACAGAGGAAGCTGCGGGCCTGGGAGGCTGGCTGGGGGAGACCAGCTCTGCGGGGCCCTGGCTGGGGTCCGGGGCTCGGCCCCGCTGCTGGAAGAGGGGGTTGGAGAGCCCCACAGTGGCCTTGGGCGCTGTGCTCCTGGGGAGGAACAGGCGTGTCAGGGGGACGTGGCCTGCCCCTGGCCCGAGTCCAGTTGGGGTCCCCTGGTGGGCAGTGAGGCCGAGGCTGCAGGGCAGTCCATCCCACAGAGGGGCTCAGAGAGAGGGGCTCAGCCCTAGCTCCAGTTTGCCACCCTCCCTCTAAGAGGCAGGGCCAGAGCCAGGCTGTGCTCCAGGGTCCCGAGCCCTGCCTGACCAATGGCCGAGGGGATTGGCTCTCGGGAGCCAAGGGCTGTTTTCTGTCCTCAAATGGTGGCATCAGCCCCAGGCATGGCTGCACCTGCCACACCGCACGGTACATCCGGCAGGTCCTCACCTCCCGTGAGCGCGGTGCCAAGCCTTGCAGTAGCTGATGCCGCCTGCCAGCGCAGCCACCCCAGCTGCCAGGAGCACCAGGGCCACCAGCACGCTGATCGGAAGTCTCCTGGAGGCTGAGGGACACGAGGCCACGCATTGGCAGGGTCCAGATGCTGCAGCCGGTGTGGCCTTCCCAGCCCGCCTGCCCCACGGCCCACACTCGGCTGAGGGCCTTGGGACCCGTAGCGGAGGAGCCTGTACACTATGCGTGCTCCTGGCTCTGCTGACCGGCTGGGCGGCGTGGCACTGGGCGGTCCCAAGCTCACCAGCCCATGGTGCTGCCGTCGGCCATGTGCTTGGCCACTGCGGGGAAGACACTGGGCTGGCTCTGAGCTGGGCAGGCCCTGGGTCCCCGCGCCTGCGTCCCCCACCCCAGGTCTCTTGGTGGGATGTGGCTGTGTGAACTCAGAGCTGACCCAGGGCGGGGTCCTGAATGCTCAGGCAGTGCGGGCCGTGGCTGCCCCTACCTGTGCGCCTGTCGGTCAGTGGCTCTGCGCAGTGGGGCGGGGCCCAGCCTGCCTGGCAGTGACACTCCCGCTTGTGGTTGCAGACCTGGGGGTGGCCAGACGCAGGGACGGGGCTCGCGAGGGTCCCAGGACCAGCCCCCCCACAGGATCCCACTCGCCTCCCACGTGAGCCAGCCACGAGGCCCCCCATAGGCCTGACGCTCCGTGTGGGCCTCCTCCACCGAGGACCCAGCTCTGTGGGGACCCCGCTGGCCGCACAGCCCGGGCTGGGGGCACGCACCCCGTGGTTGTGGCACTGGGCGGAGCAGTTCCGGGATCTGTAGACATGGAGGCCCTGGCAGCGTCCATCCCAGCAGACCTGCGGGCAGGGCTGTCTGAGCGCAGGGGTGGGCCTGCCCCAGCTGAGGGCCTCTGTGAGCTCCTCCCCTCCCTCCCCTCCCCGGCTGTGGGGCTGTATGGGGCCGTGTGGGGTGCACACCTTGCCCGGGCCACACCGGGTGCCCTGGGGCACGGCCTCGTAGGCACTGGAGTCCTCCGTGAACAGAGCCTGGCAGGTCGCCGAGTGGGAGGTGAGGGTGCAGGACCTGCGTGTCGGGGGCTGCAGCCCCCCCTCACAGAACAGGACGCCACACCAGTCGACCCTGGGGACAGAGGGCAGGCGCAGGGCTGACCTCCCTCCCAGCAGGAGGGCAGACGCCCAGGGAGCCGCCCGCCTCAGCCCGGCCCCAGTGGGGTGGGGACCCCAAGGGCCGGCCGCAGACACTCACTGGCCCAAGCCGGAGGGGATCCTGCCCTGGCATCCTGGGGAGATGCTGTAGGTGAAGCAGGTGTCCAGGGCTGCCCGTGCACCTGCAGGGCCGGGAGCAGGTCAGCCCCGGCCGAGGCTACACCAGCAGGCCGGCCAACGTTCGTGCCCACCTCACCTGGCCCCCACAGCTCCTGGCAGCGCTGGGCCAGTGAGGGGCAGTGCCCATTGTAGCAGAAGCCCCCGGGGCAGGGGGTGCCGTTCTCCTGGAACTCATCCTCGGGGCACGCGGGCTGCTGGCCGTCACAGAATTCCTCCAGGTCACACGCATCCTTCGAGGGGCGACACGGCTCGCCCGCCGGCTTCACCTGGCCAGACAGGGAGCCGTGTCCCACAAAGCTTGGGCCCAGCGGGGGGCCTCCTGGGGGGCCCTGCTCTCACCTGGCACTCGTGGCAGCAGGCACCGTGGGCACACATGGCCCCCTCGACCAGCTGGCAGGTGGTGGCATTGCAGCAGCGGTTCCCACAGGCCTGGGGGAGAGGCCGGAGCAGCTGCGTCCAGGGCCTGCGCTGACCCAGGGCAGACCCAGCCTCCCTCAGGCTTGTAACCCTTCTGCCACCTCCAGGGGGCTGGGGCTCGAAAGAGAACAGGAGCCCCTTCCGACACCCACATTGCCACGGCCCCTGGCTGGGCGGCCACCCTAGCCTGGAGGACGCACCTGGGGGGGGCCGCAGTCACACTGCTCCCCCTGCTCCACAAACCGGTTCCCGCAGGTGGGGCCGCCCACCAGCCGGCGGGGGTCGGGGGCATTGGCCAGGCAGCCCGTCTGCGGCCCCTCCAGGAAGGTCTCCAGGTCGGTCTGGCTACAGTGGCTGAACATCCTGGGGAACCTGGAGCTGAGGGAGGGGCGTCCCCTCAGAGGCCTCTCCCCAGCTCCACGCCCCCCGCACCGGCCCTGCCTGCCAGGGGCGCCTCACCTGATGCTGGAGGCCATGATGCAGCCGCCAGTCTCCCTGGGGACAGGGCAGTAGCAGCCCTGGATGTTCTCGTCATGATTCATGCCCAGGTTGTGGCCCAGCTCATGGGCCATGGTGGACGCCACACCGACAGGGTTCTGGCTGTGGTCCTGCAGGGGGAGGGCTGTGAACCCTGGAACCGGCCCTGGCCCCCGCGAGTGCTTCCTGTTGACGCTTCCAGGTGTGCACAGGCGTGAGGCCTGACCCAGAGGACGGGCGGCCCAGGTATGTTCTGAGGGGCCCCTGTGCCCAGCTCAGTTCCTGTGCCCATGCCCACCCTCCAGCTGCCATCCAGACCCTGTGAGCACGTGTGGCTTGGGGCCCTCACCTGGTTCACAGCCCCCGAGTGGAAGGTGCACATGGAAGACACCTTAGCCAGCCCCACGGTGGTCCCAGAGAAGTCGACCCCCCTGGAAACAAGAGCCGCACACGTGCCCTGACCTCGCCTCCTTGGGCCCTCCCGGCCCCCCGGGCTCTGCCCACTCACGTGATGAGCTGAGCGTTGTCATGCGGCTTCCCCAGCAGGTGCTGTGCCCGCCAGTGGAGGAAGGCCTCCAGTGTGTCGTTGGCCTGGGGGCTGACCCGGAAGCCGTCCCGGGCCACCCACATCTCCAGACCCACCAGCACCACCCGCATGTTCAGGTCCTGGTACAGCTGGAGAGGGTAGAGACCGACGGGGGGTGGGGGGGAGCCACAGGATGGTGGCAGGGCTGGTTAGGCCACCTGTCCACTGCTGGGGGACCCGGGCTTGGGTGCCAGGCGGAGCCCCCAGCTCAGAGCACAGGGAACCCTGTGCTGATCTCCTGCCGGCCGAGCGTCCTGTCTGCCACCCCCGCACTCTAGCAGACCCCAGGCCACCGCAGCTGGGGGTCTGCTGAACTTGGTGCTGCCTGGCTAGAACCTGGAAGCCCTCGAGGGGACCCCAGAAGGCCCCCACGGCCCCCACCTTGTCCACGTGGTTGACCACCTCCAGCACCCGCCTCTGCACGGCCTCTCTGCTCCTCCACTTCTGGAACTGGGGACATGAGACCCTCAGGATAGAAGCCGGTCACCCTGGGGCCCCAGCCACCCTGGCCCCGTGCCCACCCCACCTCCGCAGTGTCCGTGACCACGAACAGCTCCACATAGCGGGTCTCTCGGGACAGCGGCCCATTCTGGCGAACATCGAGGAGAGAAGCCAGTCAGCCCTCAGTCTGGGGCAGCGCTCAGGCAGGGCTGCCCAGGGCGGGGACAGAGCTGCTCACCCGGGGCCTGAAGGCTGGCGAGACCCGAGGCCCCAGCAGGCTGTCCAGGCTGGCGTTGCTGACCCCACAGGTCCCAGCCTTGGGCAGCAGGTGCTCCGCCTGGTACAGCATGTGCCGCCCCTCCTCAACCCCATCCAAGGGCTCGATCAGGTGGATGGCGGAGCCCGCCCGGAAGAAACCCCTGTGTGTGGGGGGGAGTCGGGAGAAGAGAGGCTTAGGCCACCTGTTCCATGCAGGGCAGGGTCCTCAGCCCCTCAGGCGTGGCAGGACCCAGCACTGGCAGGAGCCCTGAGCCAAGGCCTCTACGCCCTGAGACACGCCGCTGTGAGGAAGGGCACTCTCTCCAGGCCCAGCCCTCAGCCCTCCTCTTCCCCTCAGCCCCATCTGTGCAGCAAGGACGGCTGGAGCCCCCATCATCTCCATGTGCCACGGGGCCCGTGACACCCACCTGAGGCCGGCACAGGTGCTGAGGCTGGCGGCCGAGTGCAGGTGGCCCTCCACATAGCCCTGGTAGAGGCAATGGTCCTGCAGGAGAGGGCGAGGGTCTCAGGCCCACCCCGTGGTCCCCTGGCCACAGGGCGGGGTGGGGTGCTGTCCCGCTGTACCTGCCCGTGCAGCAGCTCTGTCACCTCCGAGCCGTTAGCAGCGGTGTAGGTCTCTGTGTAGCCTGGGCTCAGCAGGTCCCTGGAAGAGCACTGCTGAGCATCAGGTTCTACCACAGCCGGGATGCAGGTGCTGGAGCCTGCGCGGCCAGGCAGGGTGGGGAGCAGGGGAGGGCAGCCTGAGGGCCACAGCCCTGCTCACCTGTTCTTGCGAAGGTGCAGGGTGAAGCGGAGGCCCCCAGCCTTGAGGATATAGCTCACGTTCTCTGGGTACAGATCCTGAGCCAGAGAGAGGGCCCAGGGTGAGCTGACCCCAACCATGCCACCCAGAGGCACCACACAGGCCACGGCCCCGTTTGTCCACACATGGGTGATGTTGGTGACATCCCTTCCTTGAGGAAGAGGGTGGCGCAGCCCCAGCCCTTACAGCAAGGGAGGTGAGGGCGGGGCACAGAGGCCCCCTAGCTGGTCATGCTGCCCACCCACCGAGGAGTGTCCATCCCCCCTTCTAGGATGTCTGGCTCCAGCTAAACCTGCACAGGGCAGCCCGGACGCCCAGCTGCTCCTCAGGCCCGAAGGTCAGCCCCTTGCCCCTGGAGACGCAGGAGCGCTGTGACCTGTCCACAGCAGCAGGTTCTGTGGGGCCAGTCTGGGGGGCAGGCAGATGAAACTTACCGAGTGGGTGGGAAGGGCTCGGCGGGCACGGGGTCCAAGCAGGCGCCGTGGCCACACCACCTCGTAGGGCTCCACGTGGGGCCAGGGGGCAGCCAGGGCAATCGCTGAGGAGAGGGGGTCAGAAGGCACGTGGGAACCCGCCTGCCCTGGTCAGTTCTCCGGGCTACGTGCCCCAGCTCTGGGGAGTGAGCTTAGTGGGGGTCCTGTGTCCACCAGAGTATAGGACACGGCACCAGGCAGGGCCAGGAAGGCCAGACAAGCACCCAGCACTCCTCATCTGTCCAACCACAGGACTGCATCCAATCAGGAACAGAGAACGGGGCTCCCCGCCCCCACCAGGGGCCTTTTCACCTCGCCAGGAACTGGAAACTCCCGTATCCAACAACAGATCGGCCGCCTGGCCCTCGGGGGCAGGTCCAGCGGGTCAGAGGTGACCCACTTGGGAAGGGTCATCTCCATACCTCCCAGAACCCAGTTCATGGGCAACGCTGGGCTATGGGCTCCTGGAAACAGGGGCCAGCAGCCCCAGGGAGGCAGGTCCCCATGTGGCCGAGGACCCCACAGCTCCCTTAGCTCCTTCCTCCCTGAGCCCAGGGAGTTGGACGGCCCCTGCAGTGCACAGACAAATCTGGGGTGCCCAGGGCACCTCCAGCGGGGCCGGCTGCATCCTGCAGTCATCATCCTGTGTGGTCGGCCAGGCCCAACCACAAGCCTGGCACTGCCTTCGCCCTTACGTCACTTCTGCAGGTTTCCTCAGCTGAGTGACCACAGGCAAGCTGGAGGCAGGAGGCCAGGCTGACCCACCCGACACCCAGGACAGCCACAGGACCACTCACCCTGCAGCCAGAGCCAGCTGAGTGGCCAGGACCCCAGGCCACACATGGTGACACTCTGGACTAGTCCGGCGTCAGGCTCCTCACACTCTGGCTCCTGGGCCCCAGGGCCCGTTCCTTCCCCTCCTGCGGCCCCGCCCCTGCCAGTCCCCAACCAATGGGCCCCTCTGATGGCAGGAGGGGTGGGGCACACAGGCCCTGCCGGGGGGAGGCAGTACACACCTGATTCACCCCACTGGGCTGAACAAGGCCCCCTCCCCAATGACTTCCTGGGCTTGGTTTTCTACATCTACTTCAGCCCACTGGCAGCTGTGGGCCTGTCCCGTGTCCAGCTCCTGGGAGAGCTTCAGACCTGGATTGACAGGGCCGGGGAGGGGAAAAGGGACCACATGGCCACCTCTGGCACTGCTCCCAGTCCCACCTGAGCTCTTGGGTGTGTGTGGGGGGGGGGTGGGGGTGGAGAGGGGCTGGGCTCTAGAAGGAAGTTACTGGGAGGCCACCTCCCCAGGGAACAGAGCTCCACACAAGGAGAGGCAGCCTGTGGGCACTGTGGGAGAGGACGCCCCACCCACACCCCGCATCCTCACTGGGAGGGGTGAGGCCAGGAACAAGGAGAGTCACAAGTGGGTGTCCACATCCAGGGGATGGCAGGTGAGAAGCCTGCCTGGGCTTCCCTCTGGGGGTCCCCAGCTCTGCTTTGGGTGTCCTGATGGGCCGGGCTCTCCTTGCAACAGCCAGACACAGCCAGCTACTGAATGCCCAGCCCGTGTCTGCCCTTCCTGCCCTGAGGGCGGGGCCGCCCCACAGCCAGAGCCTGCAGTACCCAGTGCTGGCCTGGCTCTGGGTTCTCCTGGAGGGTCCCTCTACAGCCACTCCCCACATGTGCCTGCCCGGACCCACCCTGTGGCCTGAGCTGGAAGCTCAGCCTGGACCCCCACCAGAAGCAGGGGGAGGGAGAGCCTCCTGGGAGGGGCAGGAAACCTTGAGGGATTTCAGGCCAGAGGTCAAAGTAAGAGGGTGGGCTAGGACTTTGTCCCACAGATGGACTACAAGGGCCTTATCTGGGGCCTGGGGACAGCATGTTGTCTCCAGGACAGCAGGGCCACCCCCAACACGAAACACATGAAGATACCTGGGGCATCTTGGTGACGGACCCGCTGCTAGCGCTGGGGACAACACGGCTCCCGTGTGACTTTTCTCCCCTCCCTGCCCTGTTGTGAGTCACACGGGGGGAGATAGGGGGCTGCACAAGGGGCCAGCCATGTCCCTTCCTGAGAGCCGACCTGCACCCACAGAACACAGCTGCGCACCCTCACGGCTGGGGGACAGGGGCAGGTCAGCCCCGCGCTGGGGGCCGCTTCCTTGCTCACACACTTTGCACAACACCGTGTGGCAACATGTTTACTCCAGATCAGCCTATACACGGCACAGGGCAAGCCACCCAGCCCCACCGCCTTGGGTTCAGATCCACTTCCTCCTGACCTCCCAGCCCAGCTCCCTGCCTAAGGAACCCCCCCGGGTGGGTGTTCAGGGCTGGGTTTTCAAAGAGGCACACGTGAAATTCAGTAGGCAGGGGCAGCGTGGCCAGGGCTGGCTGTGCCGTCCACGCCAGAATTGGGGAACAGACAGGGCAGAAGTGTGGGGTGGGGGGAGCCAGGGGGTGAGCAATCCACCTACGGGAGGCCAGGAAGCTGCCCTCATCACAGGGACAAGGCTGCCCCCTAGCGGCTGAGCCCAGTGTCGCAGGAATCAAGGACGGCTCAGAACCAGGTGTTTCTGCTCGGCCTGTATGTGAGGCCCAACGCCCGGGAAACCCAGGAGAGCAGCAAACACTGACAGCAACTCGGACGCCTCCACGGCAGCCAGCGGCACGCAGCACCACAGCCTTCCAGCCTGCGGCCAGGGCTCACTGTGCAGTGACCGCCACCCTGGGCACTGCTGCCGGGGGTCCCCGGGGGCCAGGCACATGGGGGGCGGCCCTCTGGCTCCTCTCTGCAGACAGGCGCTCCAGGCGCTCCGCGTAGAAGCCGTTGAAGTCCAGCCTGTGGGGGAAAGGAGTAGAGCTGGGTCCTCTGGGGAGGAAAGGCACAGCCTCTTCAGCCCCGTGGACTCCTGCTGGGCCGCCCATCACAACCATGCACAGCCCACTGCCCAGCTCCAGACGGCCCTCACTGGCTTTTTTTTTTTATTCCAAAGGCAGGGTAACAAGAAGGAGGAGAGAGGGAAATGGGGAAGGGGGGGGGGAGGAGAGAGGGGGAAAGGGGGAGAAAGGTATCCTCTATCCTCTGGTTCACTCCCCAAATGGCCGTAATGGCTTGGCAGGGCAGGCCGAGGTCCAAGCACTTGGGCCATTTCCACTGTTCTCCCAGGTCATCAGCAGGAAGCTAGATGGGAAGTGGAGCAGCTGGGACTTGAACCTGCGCTCTGGGACGCAGACTCCAAAGCTGGCCCCTTCACAGCTTTTAAACGACACCGAGATGTGAACTTAGACACAAGAAAGCTCAAGACTGGCCTCCAGCAGACAAGGCTGCCGGTGTGAGGGGCAGGGCCTGCTCCGGGCTCCTGGTCACCCCAGTAGCCGCTGGCAACAGTTCCCTGCTTAGGAACTCAGGGTGTCTGTGTGGCACCTTCCTGAGGTCAAAAGCTCCCCTTCTTGCTCATGCCCACCCGAGGGACGGGGAGCTGCCCCTTCCCATGGGGCAGAGCGCAGAGCCTGCCTCTGCTGGCACAGGCCCCAGCACCCACCTGGAGATGACGCTGGCCATGCCGTGCTCACAGTCACTGGTGCTGTAGACACTCAGCCGGGCCAGAAGGTCAAGCAGATGGGCAGAGAAGTTCTTGTCGAAGTTGCTGATGGTGGCCTCGAAGCCAAAAGCCAGCTGAGAGGTATCCATGTGCTCGGTCAGGTGCTGAGGCGAGACAAAGACCAGAGCAGATGAGCAGGTGCCCTGTGGCCACCATACCTCCCTGTGGAGCCACAGGCTCTTTTTTTTTTTTTTAAAGGTTTATTTATTTGAAAGTCAGAGATGGGCCGGTGCTGTGGTATAGTGGGTTAAAGCCCCAGCCTGCAGCGCCGGCATCCCATAAGGGCGCTGGTTCAAGTCCTGGTTGTTCCGCTTCGATCCAGCTCTCTGCTATGGCCTGGAAAGTCAGTGGAAGATGGCCCAAGTCCTTGGGCTCCTGCACCCACGTGGAAGACCCAGAAGAAGCTCCTGGCTCCTGGCTTCGGATCAGCTCAGCTCTGGCCACTGCGGTCATTTGGGGAGTAAACCAGCAGATGGAAGACCTCTTTCTCTCTGGCTCTACCTCTGTAACTCTTTCAAATGAAAAAATAATTTAAAGAGAGAGGGAGAGAGAGGGGAAAGACACACAGGGAAGGAGAGGGAGAGGGAGAGGGAGGGAGGGAGGGAGGGGAAGCAAGAGAACGCTTCTATCCACTGGGTCACTCCTCAAATGGCTCCAATGGCCAGGGATGGGCCAGGCCGAAGCCAGGAGCCAGGAGCTCCATCCAGGTCTCCCACGTGGGTGCAGGAGTGCAAGGACTTGGGCCATCTTCTGCTTTCCCAGGAGCATCAGCAGGGAGCTGGATCAGCAGTGGAGCAGCCAGGTCTCAAGCCAGAGCCCATATGGGATGCTGGCTCTGCAGGCAGAGGCTTAGCTTTCTACACCACAGAGCCAGCCCCCAACCAGTTTTTTAATTACTGCACCGCTCACCCCTCCTTCTTTGAAAGAAAAAAGAAAAAATAGATCCAGGATGATTTCATGTGACAGAGGTGAGCAGCCGAGACCGGGGCACCTGGAGAACACGTCAGGCTCCTGCGGCCGCGGGGTGGGGGCAGCGCTGATGGAGCGCAGACTCCGCAGCACCCACGGCCCCTCCTCCTGCTGTCCCTGCGCTGCAGGCCAGCCTCTTCCTGTCCCTGACTGGGGCCACCGCGCCCCACTGGCTTCCTCTGCAGCCCCAGAGCGCACATGGCCCTTCCAGCCAAGGGCGAGCCACTGGTGCCCTGGGGTCAGCCCACACAACACCGTGCTTGTGTTGGGAACCTCAGGCACCAAGTTGCCGACCGCGGCGTGGCCATCAGAACAGGGGCCCAAGCCCACGCACCTTCCTGGCGGACTCCTTCTTGGTGCGCTCCTCGGCCCGCTCCGCCTCCGTGGGTGGCCCCAGCATGGTGCCGTGCTCCAGCGTCAGCCGGCCCAGCTCGCCGTCCAGTTTCATGCTCTGTGCGAACTTCTAGGGGTTCCCAGGGGAGAGCTGCTGTTAGCCCCGAGCGCAGGCTCTGGGTGCAGAAGGTGCAGTGGAGCACCAGCCGTGCCACGGCCTGCAGCTTCCCTGGGGACCTGGTATGCTCCAAGCACCTGCGCAGTGGGGCTCCCACCGCCACCCTCACCTTCCTCAGACCTCGAGCTGCTCCCGCCACTGGACACTCACTTTCGGCACCACCGTTTCTGGGTAACCATTTGTGACAAGGGCCCCAGATACAGAGCCCAGCGCGGCGGGGACATGTGGGAGGACAGCCGGGGCAGGCCTCGGGCACAGGGCGCACCTGCATGCAGTTGGTGAACATGACGCACACGGACATGAGCTTGGAGAAGACCTTCAGCAGCTCGGGGTTGGTCAGCATGCAGTCCTTCAGGCAGTTGTCCAGGAAGCTCGTGTGGTGGCCCAGGACGTCGTCGATGTTGCAGGCCTGCGGAGACAGGTCGGGCCTGTTCTCGGGGACGGCTGTGCCCAGGCCTCTCCCTGCCTCTCCTTCTCTCGTCCCCGTGCACTAGGCTGCACAAGCAGCAGCGGGAAGGAGCAACGCTGGGACGCTCGCCCAGCCCTCGCCGAGCCTGACCTGCACCTGGCCCTCGCAGCTTGGGAGGGGCCACTCACAGACTTGAGGTTCCGCTCCAGGACGTGCCAGGTGGGCTCCATGACCTCGAACATCATGTAGTACTGGATGTTCTGCACAAAGTTCAGCATGCGCTGCCGCAGGGTGAAGGCGCTGGCAAACCTGGGGACGCAGGGCAGAAGTGCGGCAGCCCCGTGCGGCGTCCACACACGCACACCGCAGTGCCGCTTCAGCGCCGGCTGGATGCTAGCACAGAGCTCTTGGGGCACCGGGGCCCACTCTGGCAGCATCAGATCTCCGGCATCGGCTCCCCGTCCCTGTGTCCTGCAGGACAGCACCCAGCAGCCTGACCTGGAGCCGCGCGCAGAGGCCCCCACCCTGGCGATGATCTCATCATGCGGGCAAATTCCCCCAGCACTGGCGGCCACTGGGCTGCCCGGCACCACACCGCCCCAGGAAAGCTGACGGGCAAGCATCATCACAGCCCTACGGCAGGGCCGGGGCACACGCACCACTTGGCCGAGGTCAGCGTGTGCTGCTTGGCAGTCTTGTTGCTGATCCAGACGTTGCAGAGCTGCCGCTCCACGTGCTTGCAGTAGAACATGTGCCGGAAGAGCATTTGGTAGCGCGTGAGGGCCTTCCTGTGGGGCGAGGCGGCGCTGTGCTCTGCACGCTCGGGCGGCGGGCACGCCTCAGCAAAGCCCCTGCAGCCGCCCGGGCGGCCGGCCCTCACCTGCTGATGATGAGCGACAGGGGCCACTTGACGATGTAGTCGAAGGAGAAGGCCTCCAGGCCGCTGAGCGTGAGCTCTGTGGGGTCCGCCTGGGCCATCGCCTTCTCCTGCCTGGTCTCGATGGCCAGGACCCGCAGCAGCTGGGTGACGAGGTCGTGAGGCATCAGGTCAATCTTGGGGGACAGAGAGAAGCAAGCATGTGCTTTTCAGAGGACAAAGCCCAGAGCACGCCTGCACGGTGGGCTGGAGGAGCAACTCGGGCTGCACACACAGCTCTGTGGACACCCTCGGTGCAGACCAGAGCACAGGACGCACACACAGAGGCGCTGCTCTCCAAGAGCCACGGCACAGTCACACAACCCTGACTCCCTCAGGCCGGGGACCTGTGCACCGGCGGGCACCAGGCTGAAGGTGGCACACGTGAGAGGTACAATTGCATCCCAGCCAACAGTGCTGCCCACCACAGCCGTGGACTCAGCCACGTGCCAGAGGCAGGGTGTGACTCCTTATAAATCAATAAAAAGAACGACACAGTAGAAAATAAAAGAACCCAAAATTTACAAGTGCATTTCTCAGAAAAGAGAAGCAAGGACAGAACAAAGCAAAACACGAGGTAGAGTTAGAAGCAGCGCAGCCAGGCCAGCGCTCGCCACCACCTGCAGAGTCCTGGACACAAGAGACGGGGCCGCCCACCCAGACACAGTGGGCAGCGGGCAGCTCCCGAGACACAGGTCCAGTGACATCAGCCCAGGAGTACAGGGCCCACATGTTCGGATGCAGCAGTCTGATCAGTACAAACTTTGCTTGTTAACAAAACCCTAACACAGGAAGCAAGAACAGGCCGAGTTCCCGGGGGCGCCAGCTCTGCAGTAATGGTGACGGCACCAGCAGCACTTCCAACTGCAGAGGACGGCAGAGGCAAAGCCTGCGGGGAACCAGGGTCTGGCACACCACTGCAGCCCCCGGAACCGCGGCACTGCCCCCAGGGGTACACGGAGGCCACACGAGTGGCAGCTCACACAGCTGAGGGGCTGCTTCCCGCTAACGCACCTGCGAGATGGCGGAGGACCCCCCCCCTTGAGCAGGGCCATTCAGCCTGGCCCAGCCCTGGCTGTTGTGGGCATTTGGGGAGTGAACCAGCAGATGGAAGCTCGCTCTCTCTGTCCCTTGCCTTTCTTTCTTTCTTTTCTTTTCTTTCTTTCTTTTTTTTTTTTTTTTTTAAAGATTTATTGATCTGGCCGGCGCCACGGCTCACTAGGCTAATCCTCCGCCTTGCGGCGCTGGCACACCGGGTTCTAGTCCCGGTCGGGGTGCTGGATTCTGTCCTAGTTGCTCCTCTTCCAGGCCAGCTCTCTGCTGTGGCCAGGGAGTGCAGTGGAGGATGGCTCAAGTACTTGGGCCCTGCACCCCATGGGAGACCAGGATAAGTACCTGGCTCCTGCCTTTGGATCAGCACGGTGCGCCGGCTGCAGCGCGCCAGCCATTGGAGGGTGAACCAACGGCAAAAGGAAGACCTTTCTCTCTGTCTCTTTCTCTCACTGTCCACTCTGCCTGTCAAAAAAAAAAAAAAAAAGATTTATTGATCTGAAAGTCAGAGATACACTGAAAGAGGAGAGGCAGGGAGAGAGAGGTCTTCCACCTGCTGGTTCATTCCCCAGATGGCTGCAACAGCCAAAGCTGTGCTGATCCGAAGCCAGGAGCTTCTTCCAGGTCTCCCACGCGAGTGCAGGGGCCCAAGCACTTGGGCCATCTTCTACTGCTTTCCCTGCCATAGCAGAGAGCTGGATTGCAAGTGGAGCAACCGGGACTAGAATCCGGCATCCCATGTGGTGCTTCAGGCCAGGGCTTTAACCCACTGCGCCGTAGTGCCAGCCCCATGTCCCTTGCCTTTCAAATGAGCAAATAAACCTTAGCAAAATTTTACACAACTGAATCATTGAGTATCCTCTCCAACCGCGACAGGCTAAAGCTGGAGAAGTAGCAGATGGAAAACTGCAAAATCCACAAAGACGTGGAACCTAAACACACTCCAACCACCAATGAACGGGGCAGGAGAAACCACAGGGGACCCGAAAAAGCCTGAGGCACATGGAGCAGGGAACCGAATCAGAGCACAGGCAGTGAGAGCAGGGCCCGGGGCGCCCCAGCTGTGAGTGCCAACCCTGCCGACGAAGACCCCATAAAATGAAAACCAAACCACACCCCAAACCAGGGGAAAGCAAAGCAGATTAGAGACCAAAGGGAGAACAGAGCAGCAGAGGGAGCCTGCAAGAGCCGGCACTGGGAAAGACCAGGAACTGACAGCTGCAAGCTGTGCTGATGGCGACAGACACAAACCTCCAAAAGTGGAAACCTCCAGACAGGAAGGACAACGGGACTGGGAACCAGGACAGGCGACAGAGGCAGGGGACTGCCCAGGCTGACTCGGGAACCAAGGGACGTGGGCAGCCTCCGCCCACGGGCAAAGCAGCTGGGACTCAAAAGGAGACGCAGACACCTCCCAACAAGGAAAAGCCCAGGACCCCACAGACGTCCAGACCTGACAGCACCCCTGAAACAGGACACGGCCGGCCCCCAAGGCCAGCACACAGCCAAGCGCGGGCGTGGAACGGCAGCAGCAACTCCGCGGCAGGGTGACAGACGCAGGGCCGCCCGCGCCCACCTTGAGGTCGTCTTTGAAGGGGTCGGTGTTGGCGGTGCTCATGCGCAGGGCCAGCTCCAGCAGCGCCTCCAGCCGCGTGGGCACGATGTCCTCCACCGGCTTCCTGAGCTCCTCCTCGGTGAGGTCCATGAAGTGCACGAAGAAGTCCCCCTGGTCCATCAGGAAGTAGCGCTTGATGGACCTGCGGCAGGACGGGCGGTCACGAGTGGACACAGGCGCCCGAAAGGGGCTGGGACCCAAGACAGGAGCAGAGGCTGCCAGGAGCAGCTGGGGCGCCCGGGCAGGGGTGGGGTTGGGTGGGGAGCCAGGAAGCTGGGAGCAGGTGACACATGGCAGACACCGTGGAGGGGTGGCAGGTGGGAGACCCTTCAGAGACCACACAGCCCTCAGGACGAGGCTGCTGCGGTGGCCCCTGGGGGCGGATCCCTCCCCCACCTCCCGCTCTGGGGCTGAGGTGGGCAGGCACCCAGCCGACCTCAAGTGCGCCAGCAGCTCCTGCTCGTCCATCAGGAAGTCCAGCAGCACCCTGCTGGCGTAGTTGAAGGCCTTCTCGATCTGCTCCACGTACGCCCGCTCCTTCAGCGTGTAGATGATCTCCTTCGCCACCGGGCAGGTGACGTCGTGGCCACACTCTCGGACCACATTCAGGTACTTTCCTGAGCAGAGAGAAGGGTTGCCAGGCTCTCACAAGCCCCACCCACCCGCCCTCTGGCTGCAGACTTCCGGGGGGAGGGGCTCTGCCGGGAGCAGAGGACAGCACCAGGGGATGTCTGCGTGGGTCCCAGGCTGTGAGACGGGGACTGGGCTGGCCTAGTAGGCACAGGGCCCTGACAGCTTCTGTGGCACCAACATTGTCAAAGGTCAGGCAGAGTCACCCAGCGGCAGGGACCACAGCAGGTGCGCGGCTGGGCTGTGCCCAGGCAGAGTCCCTGGCAGGGGCCTCCAGGGCCCGCACCTGTGCTCAGGATCTTGTCGGCCATCTTCTGCAGGAAGGACGGGATCTGCTGCGGCACGATGGTGTACCGCTGGTCCCAGTACCTGTCGTTGTAGTCCTCCTGGATCTTCTCCTTGCGCAGCTCATGCTCCTCAACCATGAACTCGCTGCAAGCCACGGGGCCCAGGTGTGAGCAAAGCAAGCGGCTTCCAGCACCACCCCGGGGCACTCGCTTCCACCAACCCTGCAAGGGCCGTCACTTCTCAACCGTGAGTTACAATAAACCTACAGGAGCTGCCACCTGGGGCACTGGCACCTTATCCCGAATGGGCTCAAGTCTCTGCTTCCAACCCAGCTCTCTAGGAAGGCAGTGACCAATGGCCCAAACTAGGCCCCTGCCGGCCACGTGGAAGACCCAGATGGGGTCCTGGGCTCCCAGCTTTGCCCCGGACCAGCCTCAGCCACTGTGGCCATCTGGGGAGTAAACCAGCAGATAGGTGATCTCTCTCTCTCTCTCTCTCACCTCTCCGTCTCTGTCTCTTTCAAATAAATGAACCTTTAAAGAATAAAATGAACCTAGAAACCTCACCCCGAAACTGGATATTTAACCTGGAGTCAGGGGAACTCAAGGGTGCACAGAGCTGGATGGCGACTGATCTACCTCTCCTGGAATTTAGCATTTGCCTCCACGATGAACACAGGCTCTGAAACAGCACTGGCGTCAGGGGCCGTGAGCCCGACACCGTCAGGGCATATTCCCGAGGAGTCACCGTGGCAAGCTGGGCGCTGTGGTGTGAGGCCCAGCCAGACGCCTGCACTGCAGGCTCACTTCTCCCATCTTAACACCAAAGAACCAAAGCTCTGGGTGTGGACAGTGCCCCCGTCACTCGAACGCCCACAGCGGAAGCACCTACAGGCAGTGTCACACCTGGAAGCCCAAGGATCCCGAATCAAGGCAGCGCCAACGTCCCCTACACAACACACTAGTCACCGGGTGCAGCCAATCGCACCCCAGCCCTCGGCTGTGCACACAGGCTCTGTCTGGGGGACGGCGGCCGCGCATGGCCACGGGGCCCTGGCTGAGCAGGGGCCTACCTGTAGGGGTCATGGATGATCCCCCGATAGATCCACCTCTCCAGAACCTCAAAGTAGGGTGCGCTGGCCGCCTTGGTCAGGTACAGGCACAGCTCCTGAGCCTGGCTGTCGCCTGTGTAGTTGAAGCTCCTGTCGTGGAGCAGGCTCAACGTTGCTCCCCCGAGGCACTCACCCTTATCCACAGAGGTGGCTGCAGGGAGCAGGGGGGCTCAGAGCTGGGGACCCACAGGCGTCTCCTGGGGCTCCTCCCACTCTCATGCGACAGGTGCTCCTCCTCTGGGAGCACCCCCAACTGTGAAGATGTCACCGGCACCTAAAGCTCGTCAAAAAGCTCCCGGGCTTTCTCCCACAAATCCGTAAAACATAAAGCAACACAGGCTTTGGTACAGGCCTCTGGGTCTGGAAGTGCGAACCACACAGCCCCTCCCGGCCTGGACCGCCCCTCACGCGCTGCCCCCAGGCTGGCTGCATACCGAGGGAGGCCAGGATGTCCACGGTGCGCATGGCCGGCTGCACGTAGAACCAGAGCTTCTGCAGGGACAGGAGACCCTGCCTGTGCAGCTGCTCCAGCTGTGTGACCAGGATCAGGTACTCCTTCACGAGGGTGCGCATGGCGGCCGCCAGGGCGTGGTTCACCTGCCCGTACTCGAAGGACGACTTCTCCTCAATGAACCTGCCAGGAAAACACCCCAGGGCCGCCCTGAGCAGGAGCACAGGGCTCACTCAGCCCCGTCCCTGCTGGAAGCAGGGAGCCAGGACGCCGGGCAGGGACTTGCCCCACAGCGGGACAGGCACGGCCTCTGCGCTCACCAGCAGACGCCTTGTTGCCTACACAGGACGGGCTCCTGGGGCTGAGCACCTACCTGGTCACGGTGGAATAGCTGGCAGCCACGGGGAGAATTCTGTTTACCAGCTCCCGGATGGACAGGTCCAGGTTGGGGTCCACGAGGAAGGTGCGGCTCTGCCTCCCGGCCAGGGGCTGGGCAGTGATATACTTGCCATCCACACCCACCAGCACGTACAGCAAGTCCTCCACCACAGCGGACTCCTGGGAAGCCAAGGGCAGCGCACCTGCAGGGCACAGACGGGGCAGGCTCGCAGGGCCCCACTGGCCAGTCACACCTGCCTTCACTGGCACAGGCAGTCAGTGACTTCAAGTGACCGCAGGTCAGGAGCTCAGACACTGTGGCAGCAAGGCAGGTGCAGACTGCCCCGGCTCCTCCCACTGAGCACAGGCCCTGGACACCTGACACCTGGGGGGCACAGCGGGGGCAGCGTGCTCCCAGCACCAGCCATGCTTGTAGGCTCCTCCTTAAGATGACACCGTTCCAAACTTGAAGAACTCAACTGTTTTCACTCCCCAGATGGCTGCAACAGCCGGGGCTGGGCCCAAGCCAGGAGCCACACCTCCTTCTGGGTCTCCACATGGGTGCAGGAGACTAAGCACCTTAGCCATCTTCTGCTGCCTTCCCAGGTGTATTAGAAGGGAGCTGGATGAGAAGCAGAGCAGCCGGACTTGAACCATCGCTCCAGTGTGGGAGGGATGCTGGCACTGCAGGTGGCGGCCCAACCTGCTGTGCCGACACCCGCCCCAAGAACTGCGTTTCTGTCACATGCACCGAGACGGCTGCAGGATGCATGCAACCTGACAGACCGCCGAGCAGCAGGAGCGAACCTCCAGCTGACAGTGGGGCTGTCCCGGATGTCCCCACACACTCAGTGGGGGCCAATCAACCAGGGTGCAGGGGGCCAGCACTGGTGCAGTGGGTTAAGCCGCAGCTTTCAGCACCAGCATCCCTTACTGCAGTACTGACTCAAGGGCCTGCTGCTCTGTTTTCCATCCAGCTGCCTGCTAACGGCTTGGGATGCAGCACAAGACGGCCCAGGTGCGTGGGCCCTGCACCCATGTCGGGGACAAGGATGGAGTTCCTGGCTCTTCTGGCTTCGGCCTGGCCTAGCTCCGGCCACTGTGGCCATTTGGGGAGTGAACCAGAGGTTGGAAGATCTCAATCTTTAAACATGAAACCAGAAAGCCACAGCCTGGGACCTTGTGGGGGCATTAGAGGGCACACTTGTGTGGTTCACAAAACCACTGAGCGTGGCCTCACACACCTGCTGGGAAGGGAAGTGTCCCACAAGGGCAGCGGAGGCTGGCCCAGGCAGCAGCCACGTGGCAAACACTGGGATCACAGCGCTTGCTCCTGTGCTCGCAGCTCCGTTTCTCCCCAGGCCTGTCCTGTTTCTCCCGGGCCTGAAGGCCCGACTCCAGCGACATCTGACCCCACCTCTGCTGGCCTGTCCTGTTTCTCCCGGGCCTGAAGGCCCGACTCCAGCGACATCTGACCCCACCTCTGCTGGCCTGTCCTGTTTCTCCCCGGGCCTGAAGGCCCGACTCCAGCGACATCTGACCCCACCTCTGCTGGCACTCAGGTGCTGCCTCTGGCTCACTCCCACCACTCGGCTCACCTCGGCCTGGAAGCCCTGGGGAGCAGCACAAGTGCTGTGCGAGCGCGCGCTTCACTTCCCCAGGTGCTCACCTGGGTGCCGCATCTGGCCGCGAGTCTGCTCCCTCAACAGTGTGTGCTGACCGCCTGCGATGCCACTCCGCATGCCCGCCACTGCACGAGTGCAGAGACCAGACAGCAAGGAAAGCAGGCGCATGGCATCACCCTGCCACACTAGGCGTGACCACAGTGTGGACAGCCGTGGGGGCACTGCTGGGATTTCTGGCTGAGCTCTGAGGGTGCACAAGGCTTCATGAATACTCCAGGGACAGGGGTACGAGGTGCCAGCGCCCCCAAACAGACTGGCCAGAGACAGGCTGAGGGCCAGACGGTGCCAGCCTGGCTGAGCTGCTCACCGTGGGGGGGGGGGGGATCAGCGTCCCTGGAGAGGCCACAAAGAACAGAGGCTGACACCAGACAGCTACACGGAGGCCAGAGAGGGACCCAGAGGACAGCAGGGAGCAGCTGGCGACGGCCCCGCCATCACCACGTGAGTAGACGTGCTCTGTTGTCGCCAGGAGTCAGAAGCAAACCCCTTACCTACCTATAGGCAAAGCCACGTCAGTGCTCAGCCCAGAGGCAATCAGAAAGTCGCCGGCCAGTGCTGGCCTCTCATACACCCACGCTGGAAAGACAGGCAAGGGCTGGCCCAAATTCTTCTTGTTCTGCTTGTCTCGAAGCATCTTTCTTGTGAGTTCTAAAGACTGGTGAGGACATTTTTAAAGAAGCAGAAAGACATACTTCAGTGAGCGTACTGGTGGTGGGGCTGGCGCTGTGGCGTAGCAGGTAAAGTCATCGCCTGCAGTGCTGGCATCCCATGGGGCACTGGTTTGAGTCCCAGCTGCTCCACTTCACATCCAGCTCTCTGCAAATGTGCTTGGGAAAGCAATGGAAGATGGCCCAAGTCCTTGGGCCCCTGCATTCACATGGGAGACCCGGAAGAAGCTCCTGGCTCCTGGCTTCGGATCAGCCTAGCTCCAGCCTTTGCGGCCAATTGGGGAGTGAACAAGTGGTTGAAGACTTCCTCTCTCTCTCTGCCTCTCTGTAACTCTGCCTTTCAAATAAATAACTAAATCTTTAAAAAAATAAAAAGACACTGGTGAAATCAACACACCTGTGGCATCACAGTCGCTCATTTCACACACAGGAGTTTATCAAGCAGAGAGGAAGCCAGCTACAACACCAGGGCTGGAGAACAGGACAGATGGGAGGCCTGGTCCCCTTTCTCAGGGGTCTTGGTCCAGTAAGGGGCCCACAGCAAGTCCCAGGTACCATACAGAATCACACCCAGGAGAGGCAAGAAGTATAAGAGGAAAAAACAACCCAGAGATCTGGGGAAGCACCCAGACTAAGAGGAAGCAGACAGGAAGCAAGACTCCTGGTGGCCCAGGAAGGCTGAGCCTCACTAGCGCTACTTATCTCTTGCATCTGGAATTCCAGAATGTTCACTCACTTATCTGAGGCAGGAGTCAGCACTCCGATCCACTTTCTGCTCTCCAAATGCCTGTACTGGGGGGAACAGGGCCAGGCCAAAGGCAGGAGTCAGGATCTCAATCCAGGTCCCCAGGTGGCCGGCAGGTACCTAACCACTTGAGCCATCCATCACCTGCTTCTGCACTGTCAGGACGCTGCGGCCACGAACTGGAGCTGGGAATTGAAGCCACGTGCTCTACCAGAGAACTGGGCATCGTAACCACTGGGCTACAAGCCAGCTCCCGTCCAGAACTCCCAAGGACAGTCACCCTGGAGAGCGAGGCTCCGCATCAAGCCTCTGCTCCCCTAAATGCAGGTTGATTTACTAATTATCAAAGATTTATTTGAAAAGCAGAATTACAGAAAGAGAGGAACAGAGAACAGAGATATTAATCCATCTGCCATCCACTGGTTCACTTTCCAAATCACTAAAACGGCCGGGGGTGGGTCAGGCTGAGGCTGTGAGCCCAGAGCTCCACCCTGGTCTCCCACCTGGGTAGCAGGGCACTCAGGCCGTCCTCTGCTGCTTTCCCGGCACAGCAGCAGGGAGTTGGATCAGAAGTGGAGCAGCTGGGACCCAAACCAGCGCTCAGACAGGATGCCAGTGTTGCAGGCAGTGGCTTAACCTGCTGCACCACAATGCTGGCCCACAGTTGTTTTTTTTTTTTTTTTTTAAGTTTTCTTTAAAAGGCAGAGTTACACAAACAGAGAGGGAGAGACAGGGAGCAATCTTCCATCCACTCGTTCACTCCCCAAACAGCCACAATGGCCAGAGCTTCTCCTGGGTCTCCCATGTGGGTGCAGGGGCCCAGGGATCTGGGCCGTCCTCTGCTGCTTTCCCAGGCACACTGGTGGGCAGCTGGATCAGAAGTGGAGCAGCTGGGACTAGAATTTGTGCCTGTATGGAATACCAGTGTCTCAGGCTGGCCACACCACAGTGTCAGCCCACAACAGAGAAGCGCCCACCCGGCTGGCGCTGTGGCCACCATGGCTGTGATACCTGCTGCAGCGTGGAGCCCGTGGTCACGCTGCCCAGCTGCTTTCTGAGCTCTTCCAGCTCCTGCATGGACATCTTGGAGGCCGTGGCGGAGACGCTGAAGCCGGCAGCACTGCTGGCGGCAGCGCTGGCCGCGAGCTCGCCTCTGTCCTTCGCATTCTGATGCAGATACTGCAGGGTCTGAAACATGCAGACTGTGTGTCCACAACGGGCCGGCAGAGTCTGTGCACCTCACTGGACAGTCACGCCCGGTCCTTTCTAACTCAGATGCCCACACGGGACACGAGGAGGGCCCTGCAGCCCCACAGGGAGGACACTCTGCAGTCTGCTCTGAGCTGTCCTTGTGGTCAGCACGTCCAGCGGCCCCTGAGCCTGGACTAGAGGACAGAAACCAGCAGGTCACTGGCTGGGCCCCTCTGCCTCATGTTCTCCTCACACCCGGTGCAGACCCACCCAGCCGAGGTGACGCCCGCTCGACGCACCGGCACCTGGCCTCCGGGCGTTACTGGCAGGGGGCAGGTGGGAGCTGGGCAGCAGGCACACGTCACTCGGCTCTGAGACCCTGGAGAGCGCCCTTCCCAGCGTCCCCATGTTGGGCACAGGGCGCCTACCTCTCTGTCTTCTGTAAGCTTTGACAACAGGTACACCAGGGGGTCAAGGTTCCTCGTGTTTTTGGATTTCAGTTCATCGTATTTCTTTAGAAAGTCTTCTGGAGTGCGGGAAAACTCAGCAATTTTAACCTTAAAAGCACACACATAAGTGATTTAATGGCCACAATTAAAGTCAAAAAAAACTAAACCAGGTCAGCTAAGTTACCCTATTTGTCTCTGAAAGAAAACTAACGACTCCACACAGACCCAGGCCTTGCCACGCAGCTGCTCTCGGGTCAGGCCGTGAGGGCTTTGGCCACTCGCGAGCCCCACATCTCCTGCTGTCCACGGCCCAGAGCTCGCGTGGCCGAGGGTGCTCCTGTGTGCCCCTCAGCCCCCCATCCACACGTGATCTGTCACATCCTGCCATTGCTCCGCCATCTAAATAAAACTTCCCCACTCATTTTTAGAAGACTTCAAATTCAAGATCACTTTCCACTGAAGACTTTATTTTGAACGACGTATTACTTGAACAGAGAAACAGTGCTTTAAAGGGATTTCAACGTGGCCAACGCCAGCAGCTTCTCTTCCTGTTCACAGGAAAGGCTGTGGTCTCTCCCCGGTCTCCACTTACTCATCTCTGGGGTGGGCAAAGGGCAGGAGCTGGTGTGAGACGCGGGCCGGCCTGGTGTGCAGGATGTGGTCACGGGCACCAGGGACGGGACCCGCCAGCGTGGTCCCGCAAGGCCCTGCGGAGCGGGCAGGCGCTCACCTTGGCGCTGTGGGCGGAGACGGTGGTGGAGACGTAGGGCGTCCGGTTCTTCTGCAGCAGGTCGATGTAGACCTCAGCCCCGTCGCCCCCGTGCACACGCAGCAGGCTGAGCAGCTCGTTGACGTCGTGGTGAATCCGAAACTCACTCATGGCTGCGGCTCCCCGTCACCAGCATCGCGGTGCGCCTTCCAGAGGGGAAACCAAGCCTGCAGCACACGGTGACGAGGACCTGACGTGCCACGGCTGGGCCCTGAACAGGGCAACTCGGCCCCAGCCCCCAGCTCCTTCCTGACCACCTGCCGCCTCCGTGTGCCGCCAGCTGCATGGCACTCAGCTATGCCACAGACCAGACAACCAGCCCCAGCGGGAAGAATCATTGTGACCCCAAAGGTCTTAATTCTTTTTTTTTTATGATAGGCCAAGTGACACAGAGAAAGAGAGAGAAAAGGAGATCTTTTATCTGCTGGTTCACTCCCCAAATGGCCGCAGCAGCTGGGGGTGGGCCGGGCCCAAGCCAGGAGCCGGGAAGCCCATCCAGGCTCTCCCACGTGGTGCAGGGGCCCAAGCACTGGGGCTTCCTGGGGCTTTCCCAGGTGCATCAGCAGGCAGCTGGCCTGGAGGCAGAGCAGCCAGGACTTGAACCTGCGCCCCCACATGGATGCCGCCGTCACAGATGGTGAGCCAACCCGTGTGCCAGTGCCGGCTCCCTCTGTCCTCCACCAGGGAGCCCTCAGCTGGTGGACAGAACAGACACGGCAGCTCTGCCCCTTTGGGACTCCAGGATTTGGACAGGCCGGGGGAGGGATGCTGTGCACAGGCCAAATGCATGGAGAGTGGAGCCGGGTCACGCGCGGGAGGCCCCCTCCAGGCTCTCCACCCTCTGTGTGCCGCCGCCTCCCAGGACCCACACGCTGCTTCTTCCTGCCCAGGCCCAGCTCAGGATGGGCAGGCCCCGGAGGGCGTCACGTTCTCACTGCTCCCTACACTGTTCGCCTGGGGTCATTTCAGCTCAGCCTGCCCAGGTCATCAGCTGTCCTAGGGTCCCATGTCAGTCAGACGCTCCCAGTGGACAGCAGCAGACTACACAGGCGTCCCCACCGCACTGGTGCCTGCTGCTGCCGGGGCTGCCCAGGCACTCGTGATGGGCCCGAGGGCACTGTGACTTCCCCAGACCCAAAAGCAGACTTGACAGCCCTAGAAAACCACTTGGCGTCCAACCTGGAACCTACAAGTAACGTGCAAATCCTGGAAGTCAGAGGCAAAATGATTCATGTCTGTGTTTTCTGAGTGACGGTCTCCCACCAAGTTCTCAAAGGCTCTGTGATTCCAAAATGGTTAAGAACCACTCCACAGGGCCAGCGCTGAGGCGTAGCGGGTAAAGCTGTCGCCTGCAGTGCCGGAATCCCACACGGGCGCAGGTTCCAGTCCCAGCTGCTCCACTTCCAATCCAGCTTTCTGCTGTGGCCTGGGAAAGCAGCAGACGGTGGCCCAAGTCCTTGGGCCATGTGGGAGACCTGGAGGGAGCTCCAGCCACTGCGGCCATTTGGGGAGTGAACCAGCAGACGAAGACCTCCTCTCCCTAACATAAAACAAACAAAACCCCCACCGTGCCAGCAAGCTACCGGCCCCACAGCTTCAGCGAGGCCAAGCTCTAAGTCAGACGCCCCAGCAAGCACACCAAAGGCGCCAGGCACTCGGCTTCCCGACCACGGCTGAGCGTCGGGGTGGACTCGGTCTCCTGGTCACCGCACGGGCATCCCACACTGGCCGCACGCTTCCGAGTCGGGAGGTGCTCACAGCAGCCCACGGGGCAGCACGAGGCCAGCAGGGAGCGGACGCCGGCACCCCGGGGAGTCGCCGATGCTGCCGGGCAGGCGCGGGAGGCCCAGGCCGGTTCCCACACCGCCGCCCCGCGCCCAACACCACCAGAGCCTCCTCGGACCCCCGGCCGCCAGGCCTCCTGAAGCCGGGGGCTGAGGTTCACGGTGGCCAGGTGGACACCAGGTCAAGCGCGCTGAGGGTGGGCCAGAGTCACGCATCGGACGCCACCCGCGGCCAAGAGGCTCGAGGGGTGCAACGTCCAGGCACTGACGCCAACCCGGCTGTCGGCCGGGCCGCTCTCCGGGTCTTGGACACTCCCGCGTCCTCGGCTCTGCGTCCGCGGGCACCCGGAGGCCGTCGCCTCCCGGCGTCCAGCCCGAGCTCGCGCGGGGTCACGCGGGGCCTCGGCCGCTCCGACCAGGTGGGCGCGCGCCCCCGACCAGGCTCCAGGGGTGCCGTCTGCCCGTCCCAGCACGGAAGGACCCTCCCCTCGGGCCGCACGGCGCGTCCTGGGCGCTGCCACCGCTTCCAGGGTCCCGACCGCGACGCGGGCGCTACAGGCCCCTCCGGCGGGAGCCAGCTCCGGGCCACAGGAACCGCGGCCCGGCGGGCGGAAGAGGACGGCTCGGGCCAGCGGCCCGCCCGAACCCCTGCCGGCCTTCGGAGCCCACTCAGCCCCACCACCCCGGACTCACCAGACCCCGAGGCGACCACCCAGTCCCGCGCCGCCTGCCGCCGCCGGAAGCGCACCGACGTCACATCCGGGCGGCAAGTAGGGCCCGCCCCCGGAAGCGCGCTGACGTCACGGCGCACCCTACGTTCGAGGTGGGCAGTGGCCGGCAGGCTGGGAGCCGCAGGCCCCTGAGGGGATGCTGCTGCCGCCTGCGCTGCGCGCCCGTCTGGCTGGCGGGCCTGGGGCGGCCGAGCCGCTGCCCGTGGAGCGGGACCCCGCGGCGGGCGCCTCTCCGTTCTGCTTTGCGGCGCGCCAGGAGCGCTTCCCGCGGGAGCACGAGTTCTTCGAGGTGAAGAGAGCAGAACGGTGGTCGGGGGGCGGGGCCTCGAGGGTGGGCAGGGCGGGGGCGGGGCCCTGAGGGGAGGGCCCGGAGAGATGGGCGGGGGGGGGCCTTGAGGGCGGGCACGCGTTGGGGGCGGGGCCTTGGAGTGGGTCTGGTTGGCGGGCAGGGCCCTGAGGGGCTGACTAGAGAGGAAGCGGGGACCTTGAGGGCGGGCCCGGAGAGATGGGCGTGGGGGGGCCTCCTGTGAGCGGGGCCTTGAGGGTGGGCCCGAGCGGTGGGCAGGGCCTTGAGGGGCGGGAGGTGGGCTGGGCCTGTGATGGGCTGGCCTGGGGTGTGGCAGACTGCGCCCGAGCTCCGGGGGCCCGCCCACAGCACGGCTCTCTTGCAGGAAGGGGATGTGCAGCGGCACCTGTACCTCCAGGATGTGCTCACGCAGGTGGCCGAGGTGCCGGACAGGCCCAGGTGAGCAGCTCGGGCCAGGCCCCCACCCGTCCTGTGCCCGGAGCAGCCTGAGCCGAGCGAGCGCCCCCCATCCCGCCCGCGAGCTCCAGAGGGTGGGCTCCAGGCTGCCTGCTGTGCGCATCTTCATCCGCCCCCCCCCCCCCCCCCCGTCTGGTGCGCAGGCAGCTTTCGGGGCGTCTCGGGCGGGGGCGTGGCGACGGTCAGGGGTCCAGCTCGGCCTCTGTCCTCGCCAGGGTGCCGGAGTTCACCTGCCAGGTGGCCGGCTGCTGCCAGGTGTTCGACACGCTGGAGTGCTACGAGCACCACTACCACACGCTGCACAGGAACGTGTGCGCCTTCTGCCAGCGGGCCTTCCCCTCCGGACACCTGCTGGACGCCCACGTGCTGGAGTGGCACGACTCGCTCTTCCAGGTCCTGTCCGAGAGGCAGGACATGGTGGGTGCCGGGCCGGTGGGCGGCGGGGCGTGGCGGCGGGGCGGGCGGTGACGCGGCTGCCTTTCAGTACCAGTGCCTGGTGGAGGGCTGCCCGGAGAGGTTCAAGACCAGCGAGGCCCGGAAGGACCACCTGGTGAGGGTTCACCTGTACCCTGCAGACTTCCGCTTTGATAAAGCAAAGAAAAGCAGAGGGTAGGTGAGGGGCCTGGCCGGCGGCTGGCCGGCGGTGCCCTGGGTTCAGAGGTCACCTCTGTGCTCTGCGGCTGAGCGCCTGTGGGTGGCCCCAGCAGTGGGCAGGGGTCACTGACGGGGGGAAGGGGGAGGGCAGATCCCTGGCTCCTGGCTCTGTGCTGGGGCAGCAGAGGGGAGTTGGGAGCGAGCGGGCGGCTGCCTTCCCTGCACTCATGACTCCTGGCCTTCTGACCTCCTGACCTCTGAGCAGCCTTGGGAGCTGCCCCAGACCCCGCCCCCCTGGGGCATCAGTTTTCTGTCCTGCGGTGCAACTGCTCAGGGCCCTGGGGGAGATGCCCCCCGGGATTCTGGAATTGCGTGCTATTTCTTTGCCTTTTTTAAGAAAAAAAATTTTGGTTTATTTGAAAGAGTATGGGGGGAGAGAGGGAGGGAGGGGGAGAGAGAGATCTTCTGTCTTCTGGTTCACTCCCCAGATGGCTGCAGTGGCCAGGGCTGGACCAGGCCAATGCCAGGAGCCAGGAAGTTCATCCGGGTCTCTCACGAAGGTGCAAGGGCCTTAGCACCTGGTCCACCCTCCTCTGCTTTCCCAGGCCATCAGCAGGGAGCTGGATCAGAAGTGGAGCAGCTGGGACTCGAACCAGCACTCATGTGGGATGCAGTGCTGTACCCGCTGTGCCACAGCGCCAGCCCCGGAGGGCTCATGTTAAGGGGAAGCCTGTAGTGCTAGATTGAGAGGTTGGTATCAGGGAGGGTGTTCCCTAGTCTTGGGCGAGTCCAGTAAATCTCTCGTGAGAGGCCTTTGGGGGGCTGGGGTTGTGGTTCAGCCGGTGAAGCTGCCCCTGCAGCAGCAGCAGCCCTTACCAGAGCGCCGGGTCCACCAGCGGCTCTGCTCCCACGCCTGCTCATGCTCCTGTGGGGGGCAGTGAGGCCCAGGTGCCTGGGCCCTGCACCCACATGGGAGACCTGGTGGAGCGCCTGGCTCCCGGCTTCAGCCTGGCCCAGCCCTGGCTGTGTGGGCCTCTGGGGAGTGAGCCAGCGGAGGGAGATCTCGCCCACGTGGGTGCAGGGAGCTTGGTCGGAAGTGGAGCAGGGACACAAACTGGTGCCCACGTGGGAGGCCCACGTCCAGGCAGCTTTGTGTGCTACGCCACAGTGCTGGCCCCAGAGATAAATCCAGAAGAGCGAACCCTGGTGGGCATCTACCACGTGGCACTGAAGGAGCTGGGGTCACAGCAGGTGTGAGGTGGTTCACTGAGGGTCAGGGTTCAGCACCAAAGTGGTGCCGGTGCCGATCTGCTCCTGGCACACCACAGACTGTGCCGAAACAGTAAGAGGCTGTGGTCTCCTGGAAAGTTCTCAGGGAAATAGGACCGAAGCCGCTGGTCACTCTCTGTCTTCCACAGCCCAGCCATGCCAGGGGCCAGAGTGAGCACGTCTGCAGGAGCCCCGCGGGATGACGGGGAGCAGTCAGAAGGGGACGCCATGGAGGTCGGCGCTGAGCCTGGGGCAGCCCCGGCAGCACCCTCGGCGGAGCGGAGGGCCTCGGGTCGCAGGTCAGCCTCTGTCTTCCAGAGCCTGTCCTGGGTGTGTGCAGACCGGGCAGTGCTGGCCGCGGCCTGGGCCGAGTTCTTGCCGAGTCAGCCTGGGTTTTTCTTCAACTCTGGTTCTGGGCGGCAGGAACGCATTGGGCCCGCAGCCCTGGGGTCCTCGCAGGTTGACTGTGCTTGTGTTGGGTTAGCGCTACTTCGGACCTAATCTGGGGGAAATGCCCCAAAATGGGGAAAAACCTCCAAAGAATCCAGCCCTGGGCACCAGCAGGTGGTCAGGGTTTCTGTCAGGCGAGGTGATCTCCAGAGCCCGCCGAGGCAGGAGGGGTGGGGGTGGGATGGGCGGTGTGTCGGGCACGGGGTTGGGAGAGGGGGCTGCAGAATGAAAGGCGTGTGCGCACTGGCCTCTGCGTGACAGAGCCTTCTCTTCCAGGGTTCCCCCCACCATCTGCTTTGGCCAGGGCGCATCCCGCGGGTTTAGAAGCACCACGAGAAGAGGCAAGCACCAGTGATGGGGCCGGCAGAGGCCCCCCAGGCCGGGGCAGGCTGGCCCCTGTGGCAGGTGTGGTGGGCGGGGCCTGCTGTCCTGGGCTGGGGCCCTGCCCAGTGAGGGCAGAGCTGTTGCCAGAGCAGTGAGGCACCTGCAGGTTCTAGAAACCACGTGGGTGCCCTCTCCAAACATGTGCAATGACTTCTTCACCGATGGTCTCCTGCGTCTGGGATGGAGTGTTCTGTTCTGGACTTCAGTTTCCCGGGAGACCCGGGAGCTTCAGGCCTCTGAGAGGTTGGGGTGCCGGGAAGAGTTGGAGGAGGCGGCCCCACCGTGGGCTCAGCTGCCGAGGGCAGCTCAGACCGGGGAGACAACAGAGATCTCAGCCTGGGCACCAGGCCTGCCCAGGAGGCCCAGCGGCCACACGCCACACTGTGCTCTATACCAGAGGGCGGTCCCCCCGCTTCCCCTCACCACCCTTCTGGGCTGCGGATTTGGCCAGAGCCTGCTGCTGGCTACCTGACTCCCGACACGGGCCACACGTGGGCTCTCAGGGCCCTGGATCGCGGGGAGCGTGGCGCCAGACTCAGAGAATGCAGCAGTGCTTCCTGCACCGAAATGGACAGGTTCCAGGTGTGTGGGGCTGAAAACCAGGACCCACGTTCAGGCCCTGGCTGTGGGTGGCAGCTGGGCTGCCCCGGCCTGTGGGAACCTGTGTGAAAGCAGAAAAAAATGGAACATGGAAATTCTGTCCACTCCAGAGTCCTCCTCCCTGCCCGGTCAGTGGCACAGCGGTGCCAGCACTCCGTGTATTCTGCCAGAGTTTTCCCATGCACGGTGTTGGCTTTCCCGGGGGGACTGTGCCTTGGCAGCTGAGCCCCACCCTGGCCTCCTGCCGCCCAGCAGCCCATCCACGCCATGTTGGATCGGAAGCATTTTCCTGGAGAAGCTGCTGGCAGAGGGCGCGAGTCCCTCCAGCGTCACCACCCACCTTAGAGCAGCTCTGCTCACGCAGGACCTGCGACCCAGCCTGGGGTCCTGTGGTAAGCAGGGCCAGTGTTCTGTCTGGGAGACCCAGCCTGGGGTCATGGGGTCAGTGTTCTGTCTGGGAGACCCAGCCTGGGGTCCCATGGTCAGCGGGGCCAGTGTTCTGTCTGGGAGACCCAGCCTGGGGTCCCATGGTCAGTGGGGCCAGTGTTCTGTCTGGGAGACACAGCCTGGGGCCCTGGGGTCAGCAGGGCCAGTGTTCTGTCTGGGAGACGGGACCTCAGGTCTCTTCGCTGACGCAGTTGGCACCTGTCCCACCACCTGTCGGCTCCTGCCCTCGTCACCATTCCCAGCTTCCTCCCTGTCCCCTCTGCCTCATCTCAGCCTCAGCGGCATACAGTCAGCATACAATCTTGGATACAGCTCCGTCTCGTCTCATTTTTCCCAAGGGCACTGGGACACAGATGCCGAGCTCTCCCTCACGCCTGCACCCTGTGTCCTGGGTCCTGTGGAGGGCAGCACCATGGGCCCACGTGGTCCTCTGTGGACATTCGCAGCATCCTTGAGTAACGTGCCCAGTGTCCTTTGCCCGAGGACACTTTCATGTCCCGGCTCTGAGGCTCTCACCGACCCCCGACCTGCTGCCTTCAGAACCCAGCAGTCAGCATCACCGGTTTCTGTTTTTTTAAGATTTATTTTTTATTTGGAAGGCAGGTTACAGAGAGGAGGAGAGAGGGGGGAAAGGGGGGGAGAGAGAGAGAGAGCAGGAGAGCAGGCACTTGTATCTGCTGCTGAAGCCCGGAGCCAGGAGCTTCTTCTGGGTCTCCAACACAGGTGCAGGGCCCAAGCACTTGGGCCGTCTTCCACTGCTTTCCCAGCACATTAGTAGGGAGCTGGATCAGAAGAGGAACAGCTGCGGGGCCGGCGCTGTGCCGCAGTGGGTTAACGCCCTAGCCTGAAGTGCCGGCATCCCATATGGGCGCCGGTTCGAGTCCCAGCTGCTCCACTTCCTATCTAGCTCTCTGCTGTGGCCTGGGATAGCAGTGGAAGATGGCCCAAGTCCTTGGGCCCCTGCACCCACGTGGGAGACCCAGAAGAAGCTCCTGGCTCTTGACTTCAGATCTGCGCAGCTCCAGCCATTGCGGCCAATTGGGGTGTGAACCATCGGATGGAAGACCTTTCTCTCTCTCTCTCTCTCTCTCTCTCTCTCTCTCTCTCTCTCTCTCTGCCTCTCCTCTCTCTGTGTAATTCTGACTTTCAAATAAATAAAAATAAATCTTTAAAAAAAAAAAAAAAAAAGGAAGAGGAACAGCTGGGACTCCAGCCGGCACTGATACAGGGTGCTGGCGCTGCAGGCAGAGGTTTAGCCTACTATGTCACGCCCGGCCCCTGGTGCAGGTTTGCTAAGAAGGCAAGGGGGCCTGGTTGCCAAGGTGACCAAGGTCCTGCTAGGCACCACTGGTCCTGAACCCCCCCCCCCAGCCCTTTCTGTTGCCTGGCTCACGTTCCCAGCCGCCTGGAGCAAGACCTGTGCCTTGGCCATCTGTGAGTTGCGGAGACGCGGGCGGCTCTGGGCTGATAGTGTGCCGGGAGGAGCCCCATGCCAGCCCCTTGCTCCGGCCTGACTTGTTACTGTCCGGCTGCCCCTGCTGGCCCTGCGGACGCAGCTCAGGTGAGGCCAGGAAGGGGTGCACTTCAGCCCCGGCCTCTGCCAGGTTGACCTCCAGGGACGAAGCCTCGCACCTCCTGCAAGGACGCGGCTACGATCTTCCATGAGTGCCACAGCCAGCTAAAGGCCCTGGGGTGCTGGCTGAGGCCACGCCCCTCCCCTCTAATCTGTCCCTGCCCGCCGGCTCCCGCAGCGCCCTAGCTGGCCATCATTCTCCACTTCTGGCCCTCCCGCACCCCTAGTCCCGCAGCAAATCCTGCTTGCGCCTCCCGGCCCACAGCCCTGCCACCTCTGGCGGTGTCCCTGCATCTCCCTCCGCAGCCCGCGGGGCTCCATAGGGGTGGTTGGCTCTGAGGGTGCTGCGGACGTGGCAGGGTGTGTGGGGGAGACCCCGCTAAGCACTGCCCTCAGCATAGAGGCAGCACCCCCCCAAGCCCTGTCCCCAGTGGGAGACCCCTCTGAGCACTGCCCTCGGCCTAGAGGCTAGACCCACTATGGGGAGGGGTGGACCCGGGCCTCAATTTGCCCATCTGCACACGTGCAGGCGATCCAGCCTGAGGTCTGGTGCTGCAGAGGTCGAAGGCCCCAAGGGAGACCGGGAGAGGGTGCCGACCCCTGGCTGGCGTGTGGTCTGGGGCTCCTGTACATTTGGGGGCTGGGCTGGTAGAGGGGTTCTGCTGCTCCTAGGGGACCCAGGGCCTGCCAGGGAGGCTTTGGAGCCCTAGGATTTGCTTGAGTGCTCCCTGCACCTGATGTCTCAGGAGAGGGAGCTGAAGGGGCTGGGGACAGCCCGAGGCTTCGACCTCTGTGGCTGGGTTTTAATTCTTTTGTTTACGGGGGTGGCGGTGGGGATCTGCCATGCACTGGTTTACTCTCCAAATGCCCACAACAGCTGGGACTGGGCCACACAGCAGAAGCTGGGGGTTCCCTCTGGGCTCCCAAACGGGCATGGGTGGCAGGGCCAGGCACGCGAGCGGGCACCCCGAGCATGCAAGCCGGAAGCTGGGCTGCAGCCAGTGCTCCAACTGAGCCCTGTCCCTGCAGCCTGCAGCCTGGCTGCACCCAGACCCTGTGTGGGCCCAGTGCCCCCAGCACCCAGCCTGGCCGTGTGGGCCCGGTGCCCCAGTACCCGCCCTGGCTGTGTGGGCAGATCTGCCTCTGCCCCAGCACCCGCCCTGCCTACTCCACCCCAGCTCCCATGCAGCTCAGGGGATCTGATGGGCCACATCCCCCCTGCACCTTCTCTCCCCAGCACACGGGGCACACCTCATCACCCCCCGCCTGGGACATGTCCACAGCAGACTGGACCTGCAGGTCCTGGTGTGGCGTGGGGATGAAGGGCTCCCGGGCACCAGCGGCCCCTGGGACTGTCCCGGGCTGGCTCCTGCGGGAGTGGCCTGGAGTCCTACAGGAGGCCTCAGGGGTTCACAGGACTTGCAGGGACGGCTCAGGGCCCCTCCCACTGGCTGGGCTCTGTGGACCCAACACAGTTGCTCTGGCTACATTCCTCCCCCAAGCCACCAGAGGGCTCTCCTGCATCTGCCAGGGTCCAGGGCGTCTGGTCTGAGGCCACCAACCAGAGGCTCTCTCCTAGAGGTTGCTGGGGAGTGAACCTGTCTGTCTCTCTGCCTTTCAAATCAAAGTAAACATTTTCTAAAGTGACAGTAACTGATTCTCAACCCACTACATGGAGCAGGGATCCGTGGGTTACACAGAAAGGAGCACACAGATGAGAGGGAGAAAGGGTTTTCTCGTCCCTCATCAATAAGAGCATGTAGACCAGCAGATGCAGAGAAGGTAAGGAAGCTGGAGAATCACCACTCGGAAAACACAATGGCTGGCTCAGACAGGACCGGTGGGGGATGCGACAGCTGCTGGGGGTGGTTACCCACAGTGTTCTGATCCGTGCTTACAAGGGGAAGGCCCTGAAGAAGCCACCTTGGGCAAGCGGCCATCAGGACAGGGTCCCGTGCATGGCCGCTGGCCACAGGTTGCACAGCTTAGGGTCAGGAAGGGCAGCAGGAGGAGCCCAAGGCAGCGGATGAATCTGGCATCCTGGACCAGATGTCTTTCTCAGGGGAGGCTACAAAGGACATAGCTGGGACAACTGGACAAAGTGTGGGCAGGGAGCATCAGTTACAGTATTGTGTCAACACTCAATCCCTGGTTACGGTGCTGTGTCAACACTCAATCCCTGGTTTTGCTGCCCTTCAGCACTGAAGCATGTAGGGTGATGAAGTTACTTCTCTTAATTGGCTCAGAAAATTGTTAGAGGAATGATGGCTAGAGAGATGACGGGCAGAAGGTGGAACACAGGTGACAGATGACAGGTGGCTGAACAGCTGGTAACACAGAGGGATGGGTAGCAAGATGACAGAGCAGAACCACTGGGAGCTGCCATGAGGGGCACACAGGACTTCATGTAATTACAGGGTTTCTGCAAATCTGAAATTATTGCAAAACGTTACAAGAATGAAAGGGGAGAGTTGCATTTTAATTCAATCACAACAGTGCAAGCTCTCTCTGCCTTAACTTTCAGCTGCCCCTCCAGGTCCCTGGGGTCACTCCTTGCTGCTCCCCAGCCCAGCAGGAAGCACATGGCGTGGACTGGGTGGCCAGGCCTCCCCTAAGCCTGATGCTTGGCCAGCTTCTGCCCACGATGTCTCTGTCATAGCATCTGCCCACTTCCTGGGCACCATGTGTGTACCTCAGCAGTGAGCCCTGAGCTCCCCAACCGGGACCCCAGAGATGGCCACCGCCCCGGGTGCTCAGAGAGAAGCGCAGGTCAGAGGCTCTGGATGGCTGCGGACATCGAGGGAAACACCCTGGGTTCCATGCTAGGGTGAGGACCCCCAGAGAGCATGTGGGGTGCACCACCCTTGATGTTGAGTCCCCTGCGTCTTCACCGTGCAGTGCAAGAAACACCAGCCCCACCTCTGGCCCGTGGCAACCCGGGGAGACCCTCTCCCACTGAGCCCCTCGACCCAAGGGCCAAGCCTACCTCATCCCAGGTGGGACCAAGCAGAGGAAGCCCACAGCCTCCCCAGCCCCCCAGGCAGGAGACGGAGGTGGGGTCTCACAGAGCCACAGGTTGGCTCCGGTGGCAGAGGGAAGATCTCCATGGAACCCGTCCCCTGTAGAACTCAACTCTGGGGGTGCCTGCCCCCAAGACGCCCCTCCCCCCACCCCGAGGTAGCACACACTCATCTCTCCACGCGGCAGTCACATCTGTGGGGGCGGGAGCTGCAGCAGGCGCCCGCCCCATCCCACGGGGAGGAGGGTGCCAGGCCCAGCACCAGGTGGATGGTGGCCAGGCCTGGGGAGGGGTCAGGGTCAGCACAGTAGACCCCATCCTCCCTGCTCCCAGGGCTGGTCCAGCCCCTTCCAGGCCATTCAGGGTTTGCACCTGTGAGAGCCACACAAGGTGAGGATGGGAAGAGGAAGGAGCAGATGAACACCCTTCTTTACTTACAGAAAAGCAAGGGAGCCAGAGGCCCACAGGGAGCAGGGGGCTTCAGCGGGTGCTCAGGGACAGGGGCACAACACGGGGTGGGGGGGCGATGTGCTGGTCACAGGAGCTGGGGCACTGTGAAGAGAGGGACAGAGCTGTGAGGCCCGAGCCACTGCCCCCACCCCCGGACACCAGTGCCCCCCGCAGTCCCCTCCTCCCACCTCATGCATCTGCACCGCGGTTGCACGCAGGCGCACCCTGGGTGGGGGTCCTGGGCAGGAGAGGAGGGCGGGGATGAGGGCTCTGGGCTCAGAAGTGGGGCGGGAGCCCGGCGGGCCGCAGGCACCTACCCAGGCGGGCGCGGAGGCCTTACTGTGGGCGCGGGGGTGCCGCACTCCCCGCCGTTGGCCGCGCCGCCGCCGCCTCCCCGCCCTTGGCCTGGGTTTTCCCAGGCGGCTCCGTGGCCGCCGCTTTCGCCGCCACGGTGGGCGCCTTGCGGGGCTCCTTGGGGACGCGCGGGTTCTCGGCCCACGGCAGCGGGACCTCCGTGCCGTGCTTGCGGCTCAGCGGGTAGGCGCCGATGGCCGCCAGGATGCTGCGGTGGCGCTCGGGGTCCATCTCCGTGTAGTACATCTCCAGCGTCAGCGGCGTGCAGATCTTGTGCTGCAGAAGCGGCCGATCAGCGCGGGACCCCTGCGGGTGCAGAGCGCGCCCTCCCGACCTGACCCCTCCAGGGCCGCCTTGTGGGCTGGGTGTCTGCCCCAGGCAGTGTAGACAGGGGTTCCCGCCCTCACCCTTGTCGGCCTGTGCTTCCGACTTCCATTCACAGGAGGCTGAAATCTCAAAATTCCCCCAGAGAAGCGACCTTAACGCCACTGCCTACTCACCCGGAGCAGGAAGCCGTCGGGGCAGGTGAACTGGTCGTACCAGATGGCCTTGTACATGATCAGGACGCAGCCCAGGAGCGCCATGGCGAAGGCGATCATCCGCGCTGTGGGCAGCTGAGGGTGGGGGCGGGGCAGCCCTCAGCTCTGGGAGGCAGCCCCCCCAAGTCTTGGTGCCCCAACAACAGCCCTGAGGTCAGCCGGGGCCCAGCGTCCAGGAACCCTCTCCTCAGGGCCTGGGGTCCTGGCACCTGCGCCCCAGGTGCAGGACATGCAGGTGCTCCGGGGACTCCTCTGTGTGGGCCCCAGTGTGGCAAGGGGGTCGCACCCTGGGGGCGTCCGTGCCCCCCGACCGCAGCCCTGCCTGGTGAGCCCTGCAGAGTCCGCTGCAGGAGGTGCAGGCTTCAGAACCCTCTGAGCGCCACCACCTGGCTCCCGCTTCCTGTGAGGCAGTAGTGGCCCACGCACGTGGGCATGTGGGAGACGGGCTGAGTCCCTGCATCCTGGCTTCAGCCTGGCCGCTGCAGGCACGTGGGGAGTGGGCCAGCAGATGGGGGCTCTGTCTGTCTGTCCGTCTGCTTTTCAGATTTTTTAAAGGTAAACAGATTAAGGCCCTCACTGGAGAGGTGAAGAGAGAGAAGGGGAGTGAGGGCAGGTGTCTGCCATGCATCCTGCAGGACAGGCTCACAGCACCTCACAGGACGCCCCTTGCCCCTGGGACGGACAGTGGACAGTCGACAGTGGACAGACGGCCACCTCCCAGGAAGGAGCACGCACAGCTCCCTCCTTACAGCCCCAGAGCTGCTGGACAGCTCACAGTTGGCCGGTGCTGCAAGGCCAACCTCTGGACAGTGACCGGCTGCCTGGCTGGAGCCTGGGCGCCCACAGTCTGCGTGGTGCTGACCCCACTGTGGGCAGCTGTGTGCGGTTACCTTACGCCCATCGTCCGGGTGGCTGCAGGCCAGCTTCTGGCCCTCCAGGTCTGGGAACTTCTTGGCCTGGTCCGAGGAGGACAGCTGGTACTCTGTCTGCGTCTTGATGACCACCTTTGGAAAGAGATGGCCACAGCCTTGCTGGGCAGCTGGCCAGGACCCAGGAGTCCTGAACTGGGGGGGGGGGTAACCAGGGTCTGCTCTGTGACAGTGACTGTGAGGATGGCCGCGTGGCCGGGAGGACCCCGGCAGCTAAGACCGAGGCCAGGGAAGGTGGACGCTGCCCACCTGCAGGCGCCCAGCCAGAGTGCTGGGCCCCTGCCTGCCGGCCACCCCCACAGAAACTTCCCTTCAGTGGCTCCACAGCTGGGCCCTTCCTGGATCAGGCCAGGCTGGGCTTGAGCTGACAGTACTCTGCTTCCCCCCAGTTTCTGCTGAGGGGCCCCAGGAGCCCCTCTCAGGCCCAACCCAGACAGGGCCACGCTGGGCCACAGCCCCTTGGTCGACCATGGCCAGTTTACTCCTCTCCAGATGGGGACGGGTGGCCTGGAGGCCACATCTAAATAACACTCACCCAGACCCCCTTGTTCCTAGGGAAACCTGAGGACCCCTCCCCCACGCCAGCCCAGGCCCCTCACCTGGTCAGAGAATGGTGGCTGGAGCTGGCTGACATCCAGGGGGCTTATCAGAGGGACACTGTCTGTGGCAGCCCCATCCTGGTCCCCGGGGTCTTTGCCTGGCTTCCCGGAGAAGCTGCAGCCGAGCTTCACCATAGCGGATGGTGGTCCTCGTCCTGGTCCAGAGACAGGTCACTGACCACAGGTTCCTGGGAGCACCAGGCCAGCTGGCCACAGAGCCAGACGAGCCCAGGCTGGTCCCAGCGCCTCATGCCAGCACAGGGGTGGGCCGTGGGCTCACAGGTCAACCTTCTGAGCATGCTGGGGGAGGCCAGCCCAAGGCCTCCTATTCCTCCCTGAGTGCCCACCCCCTGGGCCTCAGCAGTGCAGGCCAGTGACTGACAGAGGAAACCACAGTAACCCCAACCACAAACACCCAAGCAGAGACGCCAAGGGCAAGTCCAGGAAGATGCAAAGAGCCCCACCCCGACAGGCTGCGGGTGTTTTGGAAGTGGAGGTATTTTTACCTTATCGACAGGACGAAGACACATCGTGATCAATCTTAATAGGAGTTGGAAAAGTGTTAGATAAGATTCAGTGTGCACTGGCTGTTTTTAAAGAGGATTCATTTATTTATTTCAGAGGCAGAAGCACAGAGGGGAGAGGGAGAGATCTTCCATCTGCTGATTCACTCCCCAGATGGCTGCAACAGCCAGGGCTGGGCCAGAGTGAAGCCCGGAGCCCGGAGCTTCATCCAGGTCTCCCACGTGGGTGCAGGGCCCTGAGCACCTGGGCCATCCTCCATTGCTTTCCCAGGTGCATTAGCAGAGAGCTGGGTCAGAAGTGGAGCAGCTGGGACTGGAACTGATGCTCATATGGGATGCCGGTGTTGCAGGTGGCTTAACCGGCTGGTCACAGCACTGGCCTCTCACTTGCTATTTTTTTTAAAAATATTTTATTTATTTATTTGAGAGGTAGAGTTACATATAGTGAGAGAGAGAGAGAGAGAAAGAGAGGTCTTCCATCTGCTGGTTCACTCCCCAAATGGGAGCAACGGTTGGAGCTGAGCTGATCCGAAACCAGGAGCCAGGAGCTTCTTCCGGGTCTCCCCATGCTTCAGCCATCTTCTGCTTTCCCAGGCCACAGCAGAGAGCTGGATCGGAAGAGGAGCAGCTGGGACTAGAACCGGCGCCCATATGGGATGCCAGTGTCCCAGGCGGAGGATTAACCTACTGCACCACAGCGCCGGCCCCTCACTTGCTGTTTTAAAAATCTTGGCACACCAAGGGCAGACGCTCCTGAACCTGAAGAAAGAGCGTCAACAGCAAAGCTGTTGCACGCGTCTCTCCCGCCTTCAGCACGGGGGAGGGACAGGAGTGCCGTCCTATGCCGAGGTCTCAGTCCATGCTGTGCGGAGGCAGACAGGCCAGCCTGGGCCCCGGCAGGACGGACGCTCTCACTGCCCACAGGCGAACAGCCCTGTGTGTGGACAGTCCGGAAGACGGTGATAAGAACTGGAAAGCGAGCCGAGCAGGGTGCTGGGCCAGGCACTGAGCAATGAATTCTGTGTCCTTACGGCAGTGACAAAAGCCCAGAAAGAAATCTAGAGATTCCACTTAAACAGCACCAAACCCCCAATGCTCGGGAACTGGCGTAGCAGAAGAGCTGGACCTGCACGGCGACGGCCCTGAGGCGTTGGCGGCACGAGCTGCAGTCTGCAGGCTACACAGACCCCCCCAGCTGTGCCTGTGCACCAGGAAGTCCCTTCAAGGTCTCAGTTTTCCAATGAACTTGCAAGGATCGTAATTCTGTATGCAGGACAGGGGGACAGAAACACGGACATCTCGGAAAAGAGCAGGTGTCTGGAGGCTCCGAGCCTCACAGGGACCCTGGCTCAAGCACGCACTTCCTGATGCAACCACTGTTCCCATGGAACAGGACGAGGCTGACCCCACTCACACCATACCCAGACCTGCCACCCTGACCCCACTCACACCACACCCAGACCTGCAACACTGAACCCTCACAGCACCCAGACCAGTGACACTGAACCCTCACAGCACCCAGACCTGCGGCACTGACCACACTCACATCACCCAGACCTGCGACACTGACCACACTCACAGCACCCAGACCTGCGACACTGACCACACTCACACCACACCCAGACCTGCAACACTGAACCCTCACAGCACCCAGACCTGCGACACTGAACCCTCACAGCACCCAGACCTGCGACACTGAACACACTCACACCACACCCAGACCTGTGACACTGAACACACTCACACCACACCCAGACCTGCGACACTGGAAACTTCACAGGACCCCGACCCATGACACTGAACCCACTCAGATCTCACCCAGACCTGCGACACTGACCACACTCATGGCACCCACACCTGCGACACTGACCACACTCACACCACACCCAGAACTGTGACACTGACCACACTCACACCACACCCAGACCTGCGGCACTGAACACACTCACACCACACCCAGACCTGCGACACTGACCACACTCACAGCACCCACACCTGAGACACTGACCCCACTCACACCACACCCAGACCTGCGACACTGACCACACTCACACCACACCCAGACCTGCGACACTGGCCACACTCACGGCACACCCAGACCTGCGACACTGACCCCTCACACCACACCCAGACCTGCGACACTGACCACACTCACACCACACCCAGACCTGCGACACTGACCATCACGGCACCCAGACCTGCGACACTGACCACACTCACAGCACCCGGACCTGCGACACTGACCATCACGGCACCCAGACTTGTGACGCTGACCACACTCATGGCACCCAGACCTGTGACACTGACCATCACGGCACCCAGACCTGCGACACTGACACCTCACGTCACCCAGACCTGCGACACTGACCCCACTCACAGCACCCAGACCTGCAACACTGACCCCTCACGGCACCCAGACCTGTGACACTGACAACACTCACAGCACCCAGACCTGCGACACTGACCATCACGGCACCCAGACCTGCGACACTGACCACACTCACACCACACCCAGACCTGCGACACTGACCACACTCACACTACACCCAGACCTGAGATGCTGACCACACTCACAGCACCCACACCTGCGACACTGACCACACTCACAGCACCCAGACCTGTGACCCAGGGATCGCCAAGTCACAGCTCACACAGGTGAGAACACAGGTGAGGACGTCTTCGAGGGGACAGAGACCAAGGCAGTGTCTGTGCAGGGACCTCGCTGCTGGCTGCTCACGGAGACTCAGCCTTCAGAGGCCAGCGCTGGTCTGGGTCCCAGCTGCTCGCATCTGATCCAGCTTCCTGCTACTGCTGCTGGGCAGTCCACGGGCTTGGCCCCTAACTTTGGCCCGGCTCAGCCCTGTCTGTTGAGGCCATTTGGGGCATGAACCAGTGAAGGCAGGATCTGTGGTCTGCCTTTCCTATAAATAAGTGAATCTTAAAAGCACAACCTTCCAAAAAGGAAGAAGTGAAATCGTCTCTGCCATTGAAAGAAAGAAGCCCTTCTGGAGAATGTGACCCTGGGAGGACTTCCTGGAAGGGGTGGCCTCAGCCCAAGGCTGGTGTCCTAAGTGACCGTGCGGGCACAGTGCTGTGTGCGCGTCCAGGGCGACACAGCGACGTGGCCCCAAGCCAGAGGGCACCTGGGGCCGCCAGAAGCGGGAGGCAGGAAGGGGTCGGTGACACCTGGGGTTTCCTTCCGGCCGTTTGAGCGCCTCCCTTTAAGAGTGAGCCCCAGGAAAGACAGGTGGGGTCCTTGCAGGTGCGGACAGGCCCATGGGAGCAGGGGCTGGACCGGCTGAGGCTGGGGGGAGGTGTTGGGGAGGGGATGTGGGACCGCAGCACAGGGGGCCCCTCCCCCGCATGCCTGCCCTCCCGCCCTCCCCACGTCTGCGGCTCTGCCTGGCTGGGCAGGGGTCTGCGGGGCACTTGGTGGCCACTGGTCGAAGCTTCAAGCCCAGCCACTCCGGGCACTGGGTCGCAGACCACGGCGGAGCCGCCCCGGGAATAAAAGGCCCAGCGACCATCGCGGAAAAGAGATGGGGTTGGTCGGTCCGCGGGGTGCGGGCCGTCGAGCGGGAGCGGGGCGCGGCCTTCCCCGGCGCCTGCGCACTATGGCTGAGTCCTGCGGGCCAGGGCTCCGCTCTGCAGACGGCTACTTTATGTCATCGCGGTTTCTAGGACGACGCAGGATCCGGAGACCCTTCAGAGGGGAGGGGCCGGGGGCTAAACAAGGCGCCTTCCGAGCCGCAGGGGCGTGAGGAGGCCGGCGCGGAGCTCCGGGAACGCGGCACCCCCACGCCTCCCGGGGCCCTTTTATCGGCCCCGCGTGCGCTGTGCGGTGGCTGCGGGCACCCCCCTCCCGGGCTCGGCGGGAGCACGGATGTGGATGGAGCACGGTCGCGCAATGTAGACCAGACGCCAGGACCCGCGTACCGGACTCGCTCTCGCGCGTACCCCGCCCACGCTGCGGCGTTACCCGGGCGGCGCGGGCAGGACGCGGGAGCGCGCGTCCCTGCGCTCTGAGGGCCCCGCCGCAGCCCCAACAGGGGTACGCCCACCGTCACACTGAGATATCAAGGGGGTCGCGGAGCAGCTCACGCACAGCCGCGGTGACGCTGTGCCCGCGCCCCCCACCCCCGGCTATAGGCAAACGCCCCTGCGGGCCTCCTGCCACCTGCCCCCGGTCACGCGGTCGCCCGCAGCCCAGCCGCCCGCGCCCCCACAGCCTCCTCCGGCGCCCCGGCACACAGCGACTCCGATCCGGGTCGGGCGTCACCCGCGCGCCTCGGACGCGCTCCCACTGGCTCGCTCAGACCCGCAGAGGCGGAGCCCGCGCTAGAGGAGGGGGCTTCGGTCTCCATGGAAGGGCTGGCCCAGGTCCACTTCCCTCTGCCTGCGACTGGGGATCAGGCAGACGGCCGGCTCTGAACACGGCTGGACCCGCACGGCTGCTGCGGCCCCTGACGCCCCGGGACGCGGGGGCACTGCTCCCACCTCTGGGCAGCGGGGCTGTCCCGGCCTCCAGCAGGCAGGAAGCCCGGAGGAGGAGGTGGCTGGCCGGACCCGAGGGCGGCTGCCGGCCGGCGGCAGTGTCCCCCTCCCCATACGTCGCGCTCACACACAGGCACTGAGCGCGGGCACCCCCACATGCAGCCCCTACACACGCACGCGGCAATGCTCCCCTCGCCCACCCGCAGCGCACCCCACCCGCACTCGCACGGCCCCGCACGCCCTCGGACCCTGCTGTCCCCGCTCCGCAAGGGGAAAGGTGGAGATGGCTCACAGGCGGCCCAGCGGCAGCTGCTGCACGACGCGGTGGCGGCGGGACGAGGATGCGGTTCCAGACGGTTCGAAGCCGGAGGGGAGGGGGAGGGGCTGAGGCCGCGAGACCGAGGCTGCGGTTGCCATGGAGACGCGGCTGGAGGAGGGACCTGGGCGCCTGCAGCGGGCCGCGCGCCCCTCCTACGCGGCCCCGCCAAGCCTGACCCTCAGCTGCTGCACGCCTGCGGTCCACACTCTTACCCTGAGCGGCTGAGCCCAGGCCCAGGGTCTGGGGCGCCCGCAACCGCTTCTGTCCTTGCCCTGTCCACCCCTGAGGCTGGCGAAGTCAGCGTGGGGGATGACCCCTGCCCTGGCTGGGAGCTCTCAGAGCCACTCGTCCTCCCTGGTCCTGGAGCACCGGGCGCCTGCTAGGTTGCTGAGTGAGTGCCCAGCTTCCTGCAGGCACCTGTGGCCCCCAGGATTCCGCCTGGTGGGGAGGGCTCCGCGTGCTGGGTGTTCATTCCTTCTTGCTGTTGGCTAGAATCCCACTGCCCATTCACCCGTCCACAGGTGTGTGGAGTGCCTCCAGGTTTGCTGGTTGTTTGTGCTATTGCTGTCCACTTTCAGAGTCTTCCATCACTGGTTCACTCCCCAGATGACTGCAACGGCCAGGGCCAAACCAGGCGGAAGCCAGGAGCCGGGAGCTTCATCTGGCTCTCCCATGTCGGTGGCAGGTGCCCAAGGACTTGGACTATCTTCCGATAGCAGGGAGCAGCAACAGAAGTGGAACAGCTGGGGTACAAACCGGTGGCCATATGGGATGTCAGCGCTGCAGGTGGCGGCTTTACCCGATACGCCACAGTGCCAGCCCCAAGCTGTCCAAGTCTTGAGTGGACATGTGTTCTCATTGATTTTAAGGATTTATTTATGTGACAAGCAGAGTTATGGAGGGCAAGATAGAGGGGGATAGAAGTCTTCCATCTGCTGATTCACTCCGCAAGTGGCCGCAACGGCCAGAGCTGAGCTTATCTGGAGCCAGGAGCCAGGAGCTTCTTCCAGGTCCCCCACGAGGGTGCGGAGGCCCAAGCACTTGTGTCATCTTCCACTGCTTTCCCAGGCCACAGCAGAGAGCTGGATCAGAAGTGGAGCAGCTGGGACTTGAACTGGCAACCATATGGGATGCAGGTGCTGCAGGCAGAGGCTTAACTAGCTATGCCACAGCGCCGGCCCCTGTTAGGAAACTGGCGCAGTTTTAGCCAGGTGGCCGCATGGCCCAGCTACCTGAGCCAGGCTCCACCCCCATCCTAATAGGATTCGCTGCGCCTGCTTCCCTGCCCGCCCTCAGGCAAAGTTTTAAAAGGGCCTGTTCCTGAACATGCGCTCTCTTAGCTCTGCTCTCTTAGCTCTTCCTTCCTGTGCTCTGGGTTCCTCTCTCTAGCCTCCTCCTCTGGTCTCTTGGCTCTCTCTTGGCTCCTCTCTGCTCTCTTCTCTCCTTGCTAGCTCCTCTCCTCTCTGTTTCTTCTACTCTCTCTCTCCCCTCGCCGCCCCTTCACTCCGGTCTGTTGGGTGTTCCCCAATAAACCCTTTCCCTTACTCCGCTGTAAGGTGTGTTTTGCGATGGCTGACATTAATATCTAACAGCCCCCACATTTAACTGTCTAAGGTAAGAAGCGCTGTGCTTGGGTGGGTGTTCTGCTCAGTGCTGAGGCCACTGCTTGGGGCTCCTGAGTTGCAGCCACAGCGTCCTGCCCACCCACACCCCGGGGCAGCAGGGATGGCTCCAGTGCTCGGTCGCTGCCACCGCACTGCACCACCCCGACCTGGGAGACGTGGGCTGAGTGCCCAGTCCCTGGCTTAGGCCTGGCCCAGCCCCTGCTGTGTGGTTCTCTGGGACGGGAACCAGCAGATGGGGAGCTCTTTGTCTCCATCTCTGCCTTTCAACAAAATGAAAATAAGAAATAAACTTGAAAAGCTTTGCCAAGATGTGCACTGTTTTGCGTTCCCTGCAGCTTCTCCACATTCAGCAGTGGAGTCAGGATGTGTGACCAAGCCCAAGACCCAGGGGCCTGGCGTGGGGACCGGGTCAGCCTTGGTGTCCCCCGAGGCCTCTTCGTGGCCTCACAGGCGGTGCGCTGTGTGTCTGTGTCCTCTGCTTGTAATGACCTCTTATGCCGTCCAGTGGGCTGGGGTCTGCAGCCCCTCAGGTGCAGGTAGAATTGTTAGGTAGGAAGTCAGTTACGAGCTTATGTGTGTGTGACATAAAGGCCTAAAGAGAAGACATCTGTGTCCAGCATCTGCATCTCAAAGTCATCCTGACAATGTTTCAGGGGCAGCCCAGAGTTCGAATCCTGCCCTGCCCCTTCTACCTGATAACCTGCCAGGTGGAGGTCCCCGCCCCTTCTGCCTGACAAACCTTCCACAATCTCCCAGGTGCAGCCCAGTATCTGCATTTCAAACACCCTGCTCCGGATCCCATTCTCTAGGGGGTCCTGCTCACCCTTCCTCCGAACCCAGGATGGCGCCAGCTAGGTTTCCTCCTGTCTGACACCTTCAAGGGAAAACTCAGATAGGAGCTTCTTAATATTTACAGCCATAAAATCCTTTGTTTCAGGAGGAGATGTGTGAAGACAAAGACCCATCTCCTTAAAAGTCCCCGGCCTCAGCCGGACTGGGCGCTCAGCCCTCTACCTCTCTGCTGAGCCGCCCGCCTGGTCTGGCCAGGTGTAATCTCTCCACTCAACCATGTAACCTCCACCCCCCCACCCTCCCACCCCCAGTCTCTCAGGCTCTGTCTGGAGAGGTGCCCATCCATCCTTACGGATGTCCCTTCCCTAATAAACCTTGCTATTTTTTTTTTTATTTTTTGACAGGCAGAGTGGACAGTGAGAGAGAGAGAGAGAGAGAGAGAAAGGTCTTCCTTTGCCGTTGGTTCACCCTCCAATGGCCGCCGCGGCCGGCGCGCTGCGGCTGGCGCACTGCGGCCGGCGCACCGCGCTGATCCGATGGCAGGAGCCAGGAGCCAGGTGCTTTTCCTGGTCTCCCATGGGGTGCAGGGCCCAAGCACCTGGGCCATCCTCCACTGCACTCCCTGGCCACAGCAGAGAGCTGGCCTGGAAGAGGGGCAACTAGGACAGAATCCGGCGCCCCGACCGGGACTAGAACCCGGTGTGCCGGCGCCGCTAGGCGGAGGATTAGCCTAGTGAGCCGCGGCGCCGGCCCTAAACCTTGCTATTTTACCTCCCACTACTATCTGTCTCACGCCTGAGTTCTTTCTGTGCGAAGACAAGAACCCTGCAATTTCTCCGGTAACATCCCCACGTAGAGACCCCCAGGTGGCTCAGCGGCAGTGAGCAACACCTCAGGAGCCCGGGCCCGGCTCTCTGACTTAAACCCCGGGGAGCTGTACTGCGTGGGCTCTGTGGGGACATCGGGTGACCTGTGCTATGGGGGCTCTGTGGGGATGTTACTGGAGAAGCAAAGGGTCCTTGTCTTCATGTAAGAAAGAATTCAGGTGTGAGACAGCAGTGGAAAGCAAAGTAGCAAGGTTTATTAGGGTAGGGACATCCGTACTAATGGATAGGTACTTCTCCAGACAGGACCTGAGAGAGTGCACAGCTCACATTTAGGCTGGGGTTTTAAGGGGCTGGGTCTTGCCTTCCTGCCTTTTCTCTCCCCCTCTCCTTCTTCTCCTCCAGAACAAAGGACTTGTTGGGTGTAAATACAAAACATTTCTTTCTGAGTTTTCCCCCTGAAGCTATCAGACAGGGGAAGCCTGTCTGGCATTGGCCAAGGGGGCTTCTCTCTAGGGTTCCCGCCTTAGAGGAAGGATGTTTATCAGGCCAGGTAGAAGGGGGGACCCCCTGGAACGTCATAAGGGTCCCGGCAGGACTTTGAAGTGCAGATACTGGGCTGTACCTGGAAAGTTATCGGGGTGACTTTGAGATGCAGATGCCTTGTCACACACACATAAGCTAATTTCTGACTTCCTACCTAACATTCCCCCCTCAAGAGAGAAATTCCCATAATTCTTTTTGGGATAAATGGGCGAAGTTCCATCTTCTGTAGCTACTTTGGAAGCTGACAAATGGGCGTAGAGATGGATATGGATATTTCCTCTTTTTTTTTTTTTTTTTGACAGGCAGAGTGGACAGTGAGAGAGAGAGACAGAGAGAAAGGTCTTCCTTTGCCATTGGTTCACCCTCCAATGGCTGCTGCGGCCGGCGCACCGCGCTGATCCGATGGCAGGAGCCAGGTACTTATCCTGGTCTCCCATGGGGTGCAGGGCCCAAGCACTTGGACCATCCTCCACTGCACTCCCGGGCCACAGCAGAGAGCTGGACTGGAAGAGGGGCAACCGGGACAGAATCCGGTGCCCCGACCGGGACTAGAACCCAGTGTGCCGGCGCCGCAAGGCAGAGGATTAGCCTAGTGAGCCACAGCACTGGCCTGGATATTTCCTCTTGCTACCTGTCCTATAGTGTGCGACAGTGGCCCTGGAAAGACTGTCCTGCTTAGTCCAGAGTGCTGCTCAGGTTGTCCAATGGAATGGGCTGGAAGCCTTGCCTGACGACCATTTGGAGTTCGACAGCTTTTATAATGTTAGAAACAAAATGAACAAACACACAGTCCAAAGAGAAGCATCAAGATTACAGAAGTTATAGGGCCAAAGAAAGGAAATAGTCAGGATTTCCATGACCAGCTGTCAGGCCAGAAATCCCAGCCCTGCTTGGCCTGATCCTGCAGCTGTTTGGCTTTGTCCAGGAAAGGACAAATTTGGGTTTGTACCTGTCCAGTCTGATTGACCCAGGAACAACGTTCTTCCTGGAGCATGGCAGACACCTCCCTGAGCGGCAATCAGCATATCCAATGCTCATCTGTTTTGGAGAACAACTGAACCAAAGAATTGATCACAGACACACCTGCACACGAGTGTGCACACAGCTGAGACACAGACCACGCTGTACATGTGTGTACACAGAGGAGATGCGGACACAGCTGTACACGTGTGTGCACACAGCTGAGGTGCACATGCCTGCATACGTGCGCATGCGCAGTGGCTGCCGGGCAGGGCGCCCCGCTGGGTGACGGCGCGCTGAGCGCACTGCGCAGGCGTCAGCGTCGTCCAATCAGCGGTCAAGGCGCCGAGGCACAGGCGCCGCCGAGCTGAGAGGAAATGGCCGCGCGGTCCGGGCCTTCGCGTGTGGAGCCCATGGGCGCCGCGGACCGCGCCGAGAAGGCTGCAGGTGGCGGGAGCGCGGCGGGGCCTCCCTGGGCAGGGGGCGTCGCGGCTTCCAAGAGCGGAAGGCGTGGGGTGGCGTCGGCCGGGCGTGCCGGGCCTGGCCCCGCCTTCCTGGCCCCGACGCACCTGCGGACTCGCGGTCCCCGTGGTCCTCACCTGAGCGCAAGCAGGCTTCCCAGGGGATTCCCCAGACCGCGCCTCGCCGCCAGGACGGGAGGGGGCGGCAGGGCCCCCAGCCCCGCCAGGTCCGAGCCCCCGCCCGCGCCGCGCCCCCTGTCGGATGTCGCCCGCCCGCAGGGTCCGTCCTGCCCACCCAGGGCTGCACACAGGGACGGGGCCGCAGCTCTGGGAGTGCCCCTGGGCCCGGGCCGGCGGGCCCTCCTGTGCCCCGTCTTCACGCTGACGGGCGTGGTTTCGCACCACAGGGCAGGACAAGTCACAGAAGATTGACGACCTGATGGACGTGGTGGCGAGGCTGCAGAAAGGTCCTGTGTCCCGTGGTCAGGGGCTCGGCCTGGGTAGGGTCAGCCTGTGGGCTCGGTGCAGGCCCACGGCTCACCACGCCGAGGACTCAGCCCCGAGCGCTTTCTTTCACGTATTCTTTCCTTCCACGGTGTTTGCTTACTTTTTATAAAGAGTTCACTTATTTATTTGAAAGGCCCAGGTACGGGGCCGGGGGAGACAGGCGAGGTCTTCCAGCCGCCGGTTCACTCTCCAAAAGGCTGCAGTGGCCACGGCTGGGCCAGTGCAAAGCCAGGGGCCAGGAGCTTCTTGGGTCTCCACGTGGGTGCAGGGCCCAAGGACACGGACCATCTTCCACTGCTTTCCCGGGTGAATTCGGGAGCTGGGCCCAGCGGAAAGCAGCCCGACACTGGACGTGGAGCCCACGTGGGATGCCGGTTGTCTCCACTGGCAGCTTTGCCCGCTGCACCAGTGCCATCCCCCATCACACACACTCAGTGCACACTGACACACACTCACACTTTCACACACACACTGACACACACCCACACACACTCACACACTCACTCCTCACTTTATAACCCGTTATCACACTTCACTTCTCTTTCCCTGTGTCCGGATCTCCAGCTGTCTGTTTCTTGTCTCCCACCGAGAATGTGAGCTGTAAGGGGACCACACAGCCCTGCTGGGAGTCTGTGAACCGGAAGCAGCGCGGGCAGGGCGGGCACCATGGCCTCCCGCTGTGTCAGCTCCATCTCTGTTTACTCCCTGCAGTGGGGAGCCTGGAGCCCCGAGTCGAGGTCCTGATTAACCGCATTAATGAGGTTCAGCAAGGTGAGCTCAGGGACCTTGGCCTGCAGCAGGGGCTGTGTGATGTGTAGGGCTCCTCGTCTGAAAATTACAGATAGTCACAGCACAACGGCAGAGCACTAATTAATACCAGAGCGTTCCCCACGCACCTGCCACAGTGCTATCAGGAGCCTTGTCACCTCCTCTGTAAGATTCAGGCCCCTCCATGTTTGCTGGAAAACAGGCGTGCAGTGTTCATGTTTGCAAGAGGGTGGTGCTGCCCCGGCCGTACTCACACAGTGTCTCCCTTCTGCTCTTTGTTGAAGCCAAAAAGAAAGCCAGCGAGGAGCTGGGGGAAGCCCGGACTGTGTGGGAAGCCCTGCAGAAGGAACTGGATGTGTGTATGTGACGTGGGCGTCGCCGGAGGCCTCTGCAGTGTCCAGCTTACCCCACCCGAGTACTGCGGCATCTATGCCGTGGCCAAGAGCCCTGCCCCTTTGCAGCCTCAGGCCCTGCCCGTATCTCCCTCTCCCCTCTGCTGGTGCGGGCGTCCTGGGAACACCTCCCCAGCATACTCTTGCTTCTGGGCCTTTGCCCGGCTGCCCTGCAACTCCCAGATACTACAGATTCCTCTGCTGCCTGGGTTGTCACTCAGCCGTCCCCTTCTCGGAGGCTTTTCCCGATCCCCCTACCTAAAGATTCCACACTGTCCCCACCTGGTCAGATGCCCTTCCTGCTCCATGTCCTCACCCCATTTCACGTGGGAGGAGAGACACTGGCATCCCGTGGAGTCCCCCCAGCCACCCTTAATAAATGTCAGGGTTGTTTGGTGCCTACAGAGAGGGTGGGCACCAGAGGGGCGGGGTCTGGGGGGTGAGGCAGACCCGTGTGACGCGGGCCAGCCAATCCCTGAGGGTCTGTGGGGTCCCTCCTGATGCCTGAGCATTTGTTGTGTCTTCTAGTGCATGGAGAGAAAGCACGTGTGCAGGAGATCCTGAACAAAAAGCAAGGTATTTACAGGCCCTCCGTCTCCAGCTCTGCCTCTCACGCCTGGGAGAAACCCCTCTCCCTTTGGCAGCTGAGGTCTCAGACACCTGCCTCAGCCTCCTGTGGCGTGTACCAGTCCAATCAGGTGTCCATGGGCCTGACGTGACCTGGTCCTGTTCTCTGCGCAGACCTGGGGCCGTGACGAGCTCACAGGCCCTGTTCTCCCCACAGAGACCCTGAGGATCCTCCGGCTGCACTGCCAGGAGAAGGAGAGTGAGGCACAGAGGTGAGAGCCTCGTTGTGAGGGGGCAGAGGTACAAAGGAGGTGAGGTTGAGACCCTCTGTACAGTGTGGGTCAAAGGGGGCCTCCCCTCAGCTTCCTCCAGGTCACCCACACGGGTGCAGGGGCCCAAGCACTTGGGCCATCTTCCACTGCTTTCCCAGGCCACAGCAGAGAGCTGTATCGGAAGCAGAGCAGCTGGGACTCGAACTGGCACCCATACAGCATGCCGGCACTGCAGGCAGCGGCTTTACCCGTTAGGCCGCAGTGCCTGACCCCATCTGTTCTCTTTCCACTCATGCATTACCTGTCCATCCCACAAACCATTGCCCACTCTTTGAACAGACTTCTGAATGCTTGCTCATATCATGTGACCAGACCCCCCCCCCCCAGACCTGGGCACACTGAAACTGGGAGTTTGCAGAAAGATGATGTGAGTGTGCGCGTGCACGAGCCCTTGACCATGCTCCTGGGTCTCCCTGACCTCGCAGCAGCACTTCATGGAGCAGGTGCACCTGTGACGCTGAGCCCTCGGCAGACAGGGCTGGAGCGGCCTCAGCACAGGGAGTCAGGACGAGCTGAGGGTGCCTTGTCTCTCCAGGAAGCACACCCTGTTGCAGGAGTACAAGGAGAGAATTTTCGTCCTGACCTCCCAGATTGAGGACGAGAAGAACAAACAGAGGCAGCTGAGGTAAACCCCAGCACCCGAGGCCTGGGGCGCTGAGATCGGCTGTGCGTGGGGGTAACCTCAGGGCTGGGGCTTAGAGGAAGAGTTGATGAGCCTTGGGGTGTCAGAGGGCATGAGCAAAGCCCCCTGAGGTGTGTGCGTGAATGCCCCTGGCCTTGGCCAAGCTGCGGGGTCTCAGCCCACGGACCCTTCTGCCTGTGTGGTTGGCCCCCAGGTTGAATTTCGAGGAACAGTTGGAGGAGCTGATGGGCCAGCACAAGGACCTGTGGGAGTCCCACGTGAGTCCCTCAGGGCGTCCACCCCGCCTCCCACATCTTCTCAGCAGCACCAGGGCCTCTTCCTCTTACCGGCCACGCCCAGCTCCTGAGCACGCCCCGAGGGTCCGAATGTCAGCACTACCCTGAGTTCACTTCCTTGCCCCCTCATGGCCACCCACCGACCTCACCACCCGTCCTGCCCACCCGTCCCTGCTGCACGCCTGCGTCTGCTTCTCGCTGACAAAACACAGTTTGATGAAGAGGACGTCCACGGACACACCTGGGACCGTGACGGGCGCAGGCAGATGGGGGGGGACCGACGCAGCCGGTGGTCTCAGGCACCAAACAGGAAACCAGAGAATGAAAGCAGGGAAGGGTTGAGTGAGTAGGCCACTAGAGGGAGCAGGAAAGGGAGGCGCAGCAGTGCGGTGCTGGGCTGATGAGACAGCAGCCCCATGGTGCCATCTGCAGGTTTCTCTTGGGAGAATTTACCCCAGGGCCATGTCAGTCATGTGAGCCCCTCCTCCACCACACTGTGGTAGCTGGGGTGGAGGACACTGGGAGAGGGGGTGGCCAGTGTACAGACGCTGAGGCTGGACCGCAGCTGGTGTGCATGGCGGGACAGAGTTGTAGGAGGGGAGGCCCAGGGGGAGGTGACTGAACCTAGGCCGCAGGTGTGCACAGGCCTGCTGTCTGATCCTCAGAGGCCGGAGCGACTGGCGAGGGAGCTCTGCACCCTGGACAGCAGCAAGGAGCAGCTCCTCAAGGAAGGTGAGACGGGCAGGAGGGTGGCCCTCGCCCGCCCCCACCTGCTCACGCACATTTCCTGCCACAGAGGAGCTGGTCGGGGTGAAGCTGCAGGACGTGAAGCGGCAGCTGTGCTCCCTGTGTGGCGCCGAGGGGCCCGCCACTGTCCCCGAGGGACTCTTTCTCCGCAGCCAGGAGGCCGCAACAGCCGTGTAAGATGTGGAGGGGCCGGGGCTGGAGGTGGCACTGGCTGGTGCTGACCTCCCTGCCGGCCCACAGGCAGCTGTTCCAGGAAGAGCACAGCAAGGCCGAGGAGCTCCTGGAGGCCAGTGCCCGGCGTCACCAGCAGCTGCAGCTGAAGTGCCAGCAGCTGCGGCAGAGGCGGCAGAGGTGGGCATGGGGCACCGTGCACGGCCTCAGCCCCCGGGACGCTGGACGGGACGGTCCCCCCTGCTCTCTGCCTTGTCTGGGTCTCCTTACATCCCCCGTCTCCTCCGTGCCTCCTTCGCTCTCCCCTCATCCCACCCCTTCCTGTCCAGGCTGAAGGAGGAGCTGGAAAAGCATGGCGGTCAAGTCCCTGCGGAGACCCAGAGCGGGCAGGAGCAGGGGGCTGCTCCAGGAGAGGGGGTGAGCCCCAGAGCCAGGGAGGACGGGGCGGGGGGCCTGGGTGGGTCCGGGGAATGCCTGGGGGCTGTCTGGCGTGGTGTGGAGATTCCCCAGCCCCAGACCCTGGTCTCTGTAGGCCATTCCCAAACCTGGAGAAGTCCGTGAGGAGACCGCCCTGGCGCCGTCCGTGGAGCAGGGCCTGGTGCCCGCCTAGACCAGGAAGACACAGCACACCCCACCTCTGAACCTGTCCCAGGGGGCGACGGAAATAAAGGAGAGAATTTGATACAACCTGCCTCAGCTGAGTCTGTGCTGGGGGAGGGTGGGAGTCAGGCCCCAGACCCCAGGTCTCTGACTCTGATGAAGCCTTAGCCTGACTCCGTCTCCTGGTCGGGGCCAGGATCACACTGTGGGGCCCTTGACCAACTTCTGATCCCTGGGTTCATCAGGCAGAGGGACACAGGCCTGAGACCTTCACAGGCCCAGGGGCCTGGAGCCCAGCGTGGGTCAGTTACATGGCTCCCTTTGTGGAGGCCTGGATTTCACAGGCACCAGGGAGCTAGGGCCCAGAGCCGTTCAGTTCCCGCTGGAAGCCCCCGGGACAAAGAAGTACTTGAGGACGGGTGTAGGTTGTACTCTCACAGACACAGCATACAACCAAGGTGTTAGCAGGAGTAGAGTCTATGTCAGAAAGCTCCCTGCGCAGGAAGTTAAGCATCTGGGACTTCCATTGTGTGCCCCTGAAGGTGCCTCAGATAAACTCCAATGCACCAGCCCAGCTAGAAGCAGCGATGGGTCAAAGTGTGCACTGCCACTTTCATAAGAAAAAAGAGAGGCCCCAGCAGGAACGTGGGCAAGAAACCTTGTCCGCCATTTCATCAGGATATTTCCAGGTGTGCAACAAGCATGAAACGCAGTATCTCCAGTAATTTGGGAAATGCAGATTAAGACCAAATCCGATAGACAAAATTGACATCAATAAAGGGGAACAGTTGAGCTCGGTGAGCTGAAGTTGGAGCATACGTCTCCATGTCCGTTTTGGGAACTGGCTCTGGAAGATCTATGCTGAACCCTCGCCTCAGACACAGACTTACACAATCACCCACACGTTACCGTGTAACCCAGGAGGGACTCACAGCTGCCTTAGTCCAAGCACCTGAAACCCAGGGCCTTCAAGAGTGGGATCTAGGGGCCGCCGCCGTGGCGGAGTGGGTAAAGCCACTGCCTGCAGCACCGGCATCCCGTATAGGCGCTGGCTCGAGACCTGGCCGCTCCACTTCCAATCCAGCTCCCCGCTGATGCACCTGGGAAAGCAGTGCAGGATGACCCAAGTCCTTGGGCCCCTGCACCCACGTGGGAGACCTGGAAGAAGCTCCTGGCTCCCGGCTTCAGCCTGGCCCAGCCCAGGCTATTGCGGCCATTTGAGGGGTGAACCAGCAGATGGAAGAGCACTCTGTTTCTCCTGTCTCTCCCTCTCTCTGTAATTCTGCCTTTCAAATACATAAATCTTAAAAATTATAAATGTGAACAGATTAAACAATGCAATTGAAAGAGTACTGTAAGACTAGATTTCTTAAAATGAACCTATGCTGTATATGGGAGAAACACTTAAAAGTTAAAGGTATAAACAGGTTGACAAAGTGTAGGACAGAAATGCAGAGCACGGCCCTGCAGGTGGGCAGGGCATGAGGGCCAGGGCCCGCAGCCTGCTCGCAGCCTCAGAGCCCACTGCTCCCTGCCCTTCTCTGGCCTGGTGACCGCGGGCAGGCGCTGGCCAGACGCTGCGCACTGGACCCACTGTGCTTTCTGTGCATAACTGCACAGAGAGGCATGAATGGATGACAACAGAAGGTGGTAGTGGAACAGTGCCAATCAACAGTTTTGCAGGGGAAGCTTTGAGAGATGCTCTTTATTGTTGTTTACTGCCCTAAGTGGGGACACGATTGGGAAAACAAGATGAGTTTGTGCTTTGGAAAGTGTGAAAGCTGCTGGTGACTCCATTCTCTTGGATCAGAAGGAACTGAAACGAATGAAGCCCTTGAGGAAAACCCAGGGCTCGTCCACACGTCCTGTCTGAAGATGGCCGACCAAGAGGACACTGGGCAGCCCTTCAGAACTAGAGGAGCTGGTGAGTGAGGAAGCCTGTGAGACCTACAGAAAAGCTATTGGGGAATGGACGTGGACCCCTCACGTGAACTGGTGTGGAATAACTGAATCCAGCACAGTTCTCTTAAATTAGTGGTGGACAGGACTCAAACCAGCAACTTTTAGCAACAGTGATGGGAAGAGACACGACTTTCAACTCTGCCGCTGGAGACCACGCCCCTGACTGTGTACCGAGTGCAGAGGACACAACGTGCAGGTTTTCACAGGACCTTGTGCTTTCTATACTGGGCTCCAGCACAAAGTGGTATTCAGAGTAGTGAAGTTACCTGTGGTGAAAACTGGTTATACAAAGAATGTAATTCAAGGATAGCATTGTTACCCTAAGCGTTATGTAATATTGTAACTAGACAGCACCTGTCACCTGTCAGCCGAGCAGCTGGCCCTCCAGGCCATGGATTTCCTGCCTGCTAACTTTGTGTTCAGCAGTGCCCTAAGTGGGTGAGCTGGGAGGTGGGGTCAGCAGAACAATGCCCCAAAGATACCCTAAATCCAAGAACCATGGATATGTGAACTGACAAGCTGTAAGGAATCTGAGTGTGTGATTGAATTCAGGGTCTTGAGACAGAGAGAGCACCCTGGTTTGTCCCCGTGGGCCCAATGAAACCCTGCAGGAGGGAGGCAGGAGGGTCCGAGTCAGAGAGAGGTTGAAAGATGCACACTGCTGGGCTTGAAAGGTTACTGTTTATTTTACCAGGCAACATGGACACAGGGTGCACCCTGTGCTGTGAAGTGTTCCAAAGGCCATGCAGGCCGGGCAAACTCGGCCCTCATGCAGACACGGTGGACAGGCTGCATCGTCTCCACGGTGCAAGGGGAGGCTGAGGCACAGAGACAGCGCTCACTGAGCCCACTGAGGGCTGGCCGCACTGGGACAGGAGTCTTGCAACAAACTCCTGTTTTGCAACATTAATGCTAAGTTCACTGGAAGGATTTTACCCTTGCTCCATATAAGCTGGGGCTCTCCGTGTCCTGACGCTAAGAGAAGAGCAGACGGGTGTGCTGCCTTCTCAGACCTATCTTCATCTCAACAATGATGCCCAGAGTGGGCCAGGGGTGGCACCCAAAGGTGGAGGGCATCAGGGCTGCAGGCAGAGCCTCCCCAGGGGCACTCGAGGAGAAGAGTGGCCTCTGGGTGCTGCCCTTGGGTTTACGAGCGGGGAATGACACAGAGTTTGTAGCGTGGTGGGACACGGCCAAAGCCCACCGTAATATTGCGAAGGTCAATGTCCTCTGGGTCAACGAGAGGCTTGAGGTTAAAATGCTGCAGAATGGCAGACAGGAGCAGAAACAACTCCATGCGAGCCAGGCCTTCTCCAACACACACGCGTTTTCCTAGAAGCAACAACAGCATCGGTGAGACGCGGCCGGAGTTGCTAACTTGAGGCAGTGGGTCGGGGCTGGGGGAGGGCGGCCATAGAGAAGGCGCTCCCTAAAGCACTCTGCCCGCAGAAAGAAGCGCGAACCTACTCAAGAGCGAGCTTTCACACAACAGCAGTCGTCAGAACTCCGCAGCAAAGCTGTGTCTGCTTGCGAAAAGGGCCTCTGCCCAGGACACAGGCAGGGAGGCGGTGGGCAGTGCCAGAGGCCAAGGCCCCAACCCCGGGGCTGAGTCCTGGAGCTGCCTGTGGTCTTCCCTCAGCAGAACGCACAGAGAGGCCCTGGGACGGGGAGCAGGGACTGAGAAGGCCCAGAAGCCCCATGGAGGGAGACGGGGGCACCCTGTGACGAGCCCGGGAAGGTCAGAGTTGCAGTGACCCTTGTTTAAAATTATGGAGCCTTAGGTACATGGTTTTGGGAGATTTTCACTAAGTCCTGTTAAAGTAGAAACAGACTGGCGGTGACAGAGGGATGGGTATTCTGGCACTGCAGGTCAAGCCGCCACTTGCCGCGCCGCATCCCAGGACAGAGCATCAGCTCCAGTCCCGGCTGCTCCACTTCCAAGCCAGCTCCCTACTCATGCGCCTGGGAAAGCAGCAGATGATGGCCCAAGTGCTTGGGTCCCTGCACTCCTGTGGGAGACCTGGATGGAGCTCCAGGCTCCTGGCTTCAGCCTGGCCCAGCCCTGGCCATTGTGGCCATTTGAAGAGTGAACCAGTGGATGGAAGATCTCTCTCTCTCTCTCAAATAAAAAACAAATAGGGGGCCGCGCCTTGGCGCAGTAGGTTAATTCTCCGCCTGCAGTGCTGGCATCCCATATGGGCACCGGTTCTAGTCCCAGCTGCTCCTCTTCCAATCCAGCTCTCTGCTGTGGCCTGGGAAGGCAGTAGAAGATGGCCCAAGTCCTTGGGCCCCTGCACCACGTGGGAGACCCAGAAGAAGCACCTGGCTCCTGGCTTCAGATCAGCGCAGCTCTGGTCATTGTGGCCATATGGGGAGTAAACCAATGGAAGGAAGACCTTTCTCTCTGTCTCTCCCTCTCACTGTCTGTAACTGCCTCTCAAATAAATGAATAAAATCTTAAAAAAAATAAATCTTTAAAAAACGAGTGTGGCAACATGTCCACCTATGAAACAGGATTCACTCACAATGCCTCCTCCCTGGACTTTTGGTGAAAGGTGTCACTTGACTTCTCTGAACAGGGAAGAGCTCCCTAGGTCGTGTGAGGCCCCACATGCTGCTCTGATCCCACATGATGGCAGAGTGTGGGTGTAGAGAGGGCGGCGTGGGAGATGACTCTACAGGGCAGGTGCGACCTCTGGGCTCGTCTCACCTGCGGAAAACGGCTTGAAGTAGTCGCTATACTTGAACTTCCCCTCCTCATTCAGAAAGTGCTCTGGTTTGAACTTCTCGGGATCAGGGAATTCTTGCTTGTCATACAAAAGGGAGTCCAGAGTCGGGATTACAACAGTGCCCTAGAAAACCAGAGGTCGTCTCACTCATGTCAACCCAACACGGGCTTTCCCCCAGGAGCCCCTGGGCAAGAAGGCGGTTTTGGATTTTACGTTATACAAGATGGCAAAATATTTCCATTTGGGGAAGTTGCTTGCTTAAGGACTTGATGGAAAACAGGATCGGGCTAAGGAAGACGAAAGCCCTCGTCTCTTCACAGAGTGACTCCAGGGCTGGTGCTGCTGCTGCCCCTCCCTGGGGCTGGAAAGTCCTACAAACCCAGGCCCCTTCCCAGA